AGATCAAACTCAGGCTTTGCATGTGCTAGGAAACTGAAAATATTTAAAATACTTTATTTTTTATTTTATGTGTATGACTGTACTTCATGCCTGTAAGTGCACCTGTGTCATGCAGTGCCATCTGAGGTCAGAAGAGGGCATTGGATTCCCTGGAACTGGAGTTATGGACTGTTGTAGCCATCATGAAGGTTCTGGGAATCAAACCCTGGTCCTCTGCAAGAGCAGCCGGTGCTCTTACCTGCTGAGCCATCTCTCCAGCCCTAGGAACTGAAAATCTGTTTGGTGTTGTCTTGAATTCTAACACAGACCTCCATGTAGTGCTTCTATAGGTGGGAAAGCTGGTTGTGTGATGAATTCAGCAGACACAGGATGCTTCAGGTTGGGACTGGGAAGGTATGGTCGCTTGCCTCCTGCTGAGCTGCTGCCCAATGGCCATGCACTCTCCCAGAGACATTTCACCACATCCACAGTGGAGCCGCCTGGAAACTTGTGTTCCATCAAGCTCTGCCAGTGAGCTATACTTAGCCATGTGGGTGCAGCCAGGAGTGGGTGCTCTGAGTATAGATAGTAACAAGTGGGCTATTTCAGGCAACCAGAGAACCCCCTAGAATATTCTGGGCCAAAATGGTATTTATAGAGTTCACTGAGCTTCTGAAGCAACAGCTATAACCTTAGTGCCTCTTTGGCTTTCTGGAGAGATTTATTTCAACAGGTTGTGGGGAGAGGGACCGGGTCACCTAGAGGCCTGCTGTCTCTCACACACCTGTTTCCAGAAAGCCAGGAATGCCCTTAGCTTTCAACCCTAACTCAAGATCAGTGGAGGCGGCCTGCAGAACTCAGGAGTCCTCTCTGCGACTACCTGTACTTCTGGCACTCCCTGGGGAGAGCGGCCAGGACTTCAAAGACACCTTAAAGATGAAATGGGCTGCATATTTCTCTTGCCTAAAAACTCACCAAACTCTTAGGCCTCTGCTTTCATTAAACATAACTGAGCTGTGACAGAAACTCCTGCTTCCAACTCTCCTGGGCCCTTATTCCTCCTCTTCCTCTGCTCCCACTTTGGAGAGAAGTTCTAACAATGGTGCCTGAAGTGTTTGCTGGAAGGCAGGAATTGTGACAAATAGTCATAGAAGAAAGGAGGCAGGGAGGAGGAGGCCAGGCCAGCCAATCCACCTCACCTAGGGATCCTCCTTCCTGACCCTCCTTCTGCAGAAATCCAAGTGTGAAATGCGCATTCCCAGTTCCCCTGGTTCCTTTGCTGTGACCAGGAAAAATGAGGAGGGCCACTGGCTGGACAGGCACAGGCGACAGGCAGCTGGGGCTGAGTGGAAAGTGTCCTTCATTCATTCCATGCCTGTTCCTGGGCAGGTGCCTGTGCCTCCTGCTCCTCTGTCAACCCACCCTCTGCCACCTCTGCCCTCCACCAACCCAGATATAAATATAAGAACATGTTCCGTGGGCTGGACCCAATGGGAAAACATTCGGCTTTATTTTAGGCTGTGAGATTCCCTGCTTTGTACCCGACAGGTGCGACAGCCCCATTTAGACATGTGGGGCCAGGAATGGAACACAATCTACAATATAGCTTCCATCGGGCATCTGGATTCTATTTTGGAAAATTGTTTCTGGGAGACACCCAGGATTGTGTTAATTGGGGCTCTAGGGACCCCTTTGCTTGGGGGAATCTTGACCTGTTTGCAGTGGAGCCAGACACTTGGTCACGATCCCCTCCTTTGCTCTGGCAAAAAGGTGGAGAGGAGATGGGGGGGCCTCTTATCCAATCTTGGAAGGCATTTCATGTAATTAACTGTCCCATGATCCTGTGTACACTGAGTAAGAGAACATCAGACCCCCACACCAGCCCCCCCCCCCCGCCTCGCCCTGCTCTAAGCATGAGGACCAGGGAGGGTGATTTGCCAAACTACACATTCTTGGTTGTTTGGGCTGAGCAACAGCCCCCCCGCCCTATTAAATCCATATGTCAAAATCCTAACACCAGGCCAGGCATGGTGGCACGTACCTTTAATCCCCACACTTGGGAGACAGAGGACAGAGGCAAGTGGATCTCTGTGAGTTCAAGGCCAGCCTGGTCTACATAGTGAGTTCCAGGACAGCTGTGGCTACAGGGAGACCCTGTCTCAAAAAGACTTAAAAATAATTCTAACACCAGAACCTCAAACACAACCTGAGGCGTAGGTCTTTGCTGATGTTAAGATGAAGACATTCTAGAGACACCCGCAGGAGCAGGGTGGTGAGGTGTCTAAGGAAGAAATGGTGACGTTCGCCTACAAGCCAGAGAGCAGCGGCCATCTGCGGCTCAGAAGGCTACTTTGGGCTTCGACTTCTGCCTCCAGAACTTTTGGTGGGTGCATTTCTGCTCAGAGGGTGCCCTCCTGCCTGGCACATACCACGGGGAGGCAGTGGCCTTGGTCTGAGAATCTCACTGTGGCTGTCTCAAGAGTGTGCCCCGCCACCAACTGGCACAGATCTTGTGCAGGCCACAGCCACAGCCTCCTGGGAGTTGGGGGGTGGGGACTCTATGTATCTGCAGTCATTCCTGGTTCAGAGAATCCAACCTCAAGTCAAGGTCAAGTTTCTAAGCCAGGCATGGTGCTCATCCCTATAATCCCAGCTTTTGGGAAACTGAGGCAGGAAGATTGCTATAAGCTCAAGGCCAATATCAGCTACAGACCAAGACCCTGTCTGCAAACAAGTTTCCTCTGGGAGGACCCTAAGACCCATCAGAGGGCGATCCATCAAACCAGCTGCCCAGAGCTAGATGTTCATTACCAAGTCTGGCCTGAAGAAACTGCAGGAAATGGAGGCTAAGGGCCCTCTAGGCCTTCCTGAGAGTTTGCTTTCCCAGATGGAGGCTCACCAAGCTCCTAGCAGCACAGGGGGAGCTGGGAGCCTTTGCCACTGGCCATGAAGCTCCAGTCCAGGGCCTAGACAAAGATGGCTGGCTCAAGTCCCTTGTTCTGGGCCAAAAGTGGAGAGGCTGATAGCCTCTCAGGAACCTCTCACCCACCATGCTCTTAGGGTGTATCCGGTAGACTCTCGGGGCTTCCTTGCTCTGTCCTAGATGCCAACTGGAGGTAACTGGACCACTGGATGAGCCAAGCCCTGTTCTCTCCCGTACTTGGGATGCTACCCAGCTGCACACAGCCACCCCACCAGTATCCAACCTCAGTCCCATCCAAGGCCTCCATGGCCTTTGCCCCCCGTACCAGATGTTCCCTTCTTCATTCCTCTACGTGGAGCCATTTCATGCAGCTCCTCTCCCAAGGCTTGTTTCTCCAGAGGAGACCCAGGCTCACCTGCTTAAAGGACCCCGAGGCATTCTGGAACAATGCCCTTTCTCAAACTCATGCCTGCCCTGTGTCCAGAAGGGCCCAAGTTACCCTGGGTCCTGTTGCCTCTGGAGAATATTACCTCCTCCACAGATCTAGGGGACTGGTCAAGACAAGACAGCAGGCTGACAAGTGGAGGCTTTATTATCCCACAACTGTTCCCGAGAAGTCAGCAAGCCATGGAGGCCAGCTCTGAGCAGGAGCACTGAGGCACAGATCAGGTAGGGCCTGGCTTATTCCAATTGTCCTGCCCCTGCCCCTATCTTAGCGGGTGTCTTGGGAGGGAGTAGGGTATATCTGTGCTCATGTGTACATGTGTAGAAGAAAATGTCTCCAAACCCCAAGTCAAGGGCAAATGCTGAGAGGTAGCAGTGCCTTCCAAGGTCACACACAATATGGATGCCACAAGTAAAAAAATGCCATTTAAGTTGCATGCAGAAGGACCCAGGTGTGGGTTCACTGCTGTCATGGTGGGGTTTGTACGGTGCTAGTCTCCTCACAACAGTCTCTCCTTCCTGGAACAGGACCAGCAACCAGGCCAAGCTGAAAATGGGACTCTGGTTCTCACTTTGATGACCGTCTCCTGGTGAGAAGTCTCCTCTGAACAGGGCTCCTTAGGGAAAGATGCCTCACAGCCCCACTGAACTTGGTGGTTCTAGCTGGACACAGGCAACAGTGGGCTAGGCCCCCACCTTCTAGGACCCTGGCTCCTAGGACCCTGTGTCCAGTTCCTCCGGTTGTCCCGAGTGATATGGAGTTGCTGAGAGGACTGTCCACCTTGGTCCCTCCACCCTGCCACGCCTCTAGGGGCCAGGGCAGCAGGTGGCTTCCTCATGCCGGGCCAGGAGAGACATGCGCGAGAAGGCCTTGGAGCAGAGCTTGCACTGGTACTTCTTGGTGCCAGCATGAGTCTGCAGATGAGCCCGCAGGTTGGAGCGGTCAGCAAAGGCCCTGCTACAGTGAGTGCAGGTGTAGGGTTTCTCACCTGTGGGAAGATGCGAAGTTGGGTAAGTGACCACAGCCAGGACAATGCCAGAGATGGTGGCCAAAGGTTGACTGTCCCCATCTATTAATGAGTAACTTACTCCTGCCCTCCAAATGCTTGTTGAAGCCCTGACGTCCAAAGTCAGAGCTGCCTACCTAGACAATCAAAATGTCACCCTGGGCAGGACTGATGCATCAGAGGCTCTTCCTGAGGGCAAAGGCAGCATGGCTTGTTGCTCTCACTGTCTCTGTGAGTCCCTGCTGCAGCTCTGGTTGCTCAGGTCTGATCGTGACAGTACAGGGAGCCTCTGGCAGCTCTTCCTGACCACTGGCTGGCATGACATAGAGCCACTGGGCTCCAGCTGAGGCAGCTGTGAGGGCAGAGCTGGACAGAGTAAGCTGCAATCCTCAACAGAGGTGCCACCTCCAGCTGGCCTCTGGAGGCTGGGACAAAGTCTTTTTACTGGGACCTTGGCCCCCAGGATGAGCCTCCCAAGTGAGACCTGCGATATCCATTTACATCCACACTGGCTCCATTTCTCCAAATCCAGAGTCTGCCCTGCTGGACCCCAGCAGGTGCTGGAGTGGTCAGGCTTTCTTACCTTCTCTCACTGCCCTGGAGTGACCCAATGTGGGTACACAGGCCCCACTGAGGTCCTGCAGTCCCCAGTCTTGTCTCTAGAGACATCTACTCCCTGACTCCCGCCGACTGAACCCATTCAGAAACAGGGTCTTTGCAAAGATAATTACAGTGAGGTCATTTGGGTGGCTACGAATTCCATGACGTACACACATCTCCCTCCCCTTACAGCAGAGGGAAATACAGACACAGACACAAAGGGGAGAACGTGTTCGGAACACAGAGGCAGAGACATGGATGTGGCCACAAGCTAATGAGTGGGGCAGTCATCAGGAGCCGAGAGAGGCAGGGAGCACGTTTTCTGCAGTATTCAGAAAGAGCGAGACCTGGCCACACCTGGATTTCAGGTTTTTAGCCTTAGGACACTGAGAGGACATGTCTATGGTACTGTTCGAGTTCTCATCTGTGGGACTTTGTGGCAGTAGCTGTAGAAGATGCAGAGGCCATGGGACCCTGCCATGGATGAGACCAGCCCCTCTCCCAACCTGGATCCTTTTCTGAGACTTTAGCCTTGCCCATCCTACCTGTGTGGGTGCGGATGTGGCCCTGGAGCAGCCAGGGCCTGGAGAAGGCCTTGCCGCATACCTTGCAGATGCAGGGCAGCGTGTGGGTACGGATATGCATCTTGAGGGCACCCAGGCTGGCATATTCCTTGTCACAGTACCTGCAGGTGAAGGCACGCCCAGCCGGCAGGTGGCAACGCAATTGCTGGTGCCTGGCCAGGCCAGCCAGTGTGTGATACGGCTTGTGGCAGTGGATGCACTTGAAGCCACCTGGAGCTTGAGATGTCCCCTCAGCTCGTAAACGTTCTTCAGGAGCTCCATCTCCATCTTGACCCAGGATTGGTGGCCACCGTGTGGGCAGCACCAGTAGTGAAGGCAGATTGAGGTGGTTCAGGCTGTCTCTGAGGGGTGCACTGGGGGCCCGGCCAGCCCGAGGGCCCACCCCGTTGATTTCCTGGGGGTCTGGCCCAGGGGCCCCCAGAGCTTCCTCTTGATGTGACAGGAGGGGCAGGGAGGTGCAGGTAATGGCAGAGGTGCTATTCCAGGGCTGCACAGGGTCACCGGGAGTGGAAGGGGGGCAGGGGGATCCCACCAGCTCCCCACAGGCAGAACAGGCGCCACTGGCTTCTAGAAGGGAGGGAGGGAGGGAGAGAGAGAGAGAGAACATGGTGAGGAAGGAGGCCACAATGCCTGGGATTTTAAACTTCTACTTATCTAACTGCAGCCCTGCCTACTTCATGGGGCTCTGTGCAGCCAGCATGGTATAGGAGCTGCAGACGCCCAGCATGTAGCCATCACACAAAAGACAGAGATGCTACACAGGGTGGCGACTATGACAGTCAAGAGCTAGGGAATACATAAACTAGAACAGGCCTGGAAACTAGAAAGTGAACCCCACTTCTACATTTAAAATCTCCCAGGACCGGGGCTGGAGAGATGGCTCAGCAGTCAAGAACACTGTTCTTGCAGAAGAGCCGGGTTTGAATCCCAGCACCCACATGGCAGCTAACAACTGTCCCTAACTCCAGTTCCAGGGGATCCAACAGCCTCTTCTGACCTCCGTAGGCATTGTACAACATGGGTGTACTTACCTACATGCAGGCATAACACTCATACACATAAAAAAATAAAAATAGGGGCTGGAGAGATGGCTCAGCGGTTAAGAGCACTGCCTGCTCTTGCAGAGGACTCGGGTTCGATTCCCAGCACCCCATGGTGGCTACGAACTGTCCTTAACTCCAGTTCCAGGGGAATCTGAAGCCCTCTTCTGACCTCTTCGGCATTGCACGACACGGGTGCACTCACATACATGCAGGTAATACACTCATACACAAAAAATAAAAATAACAAATAAAAAATAAGTAAATAAAAAATACAAATAAATAAAATATTTTTAAAAATCTCCCAGGACCTCCATTTCCCACACAGCCAAGGTGTGGAAGTCTACACCTGCAACCCCAGCACTGAAAGGAATGAAGAAGAAGGATCTAGGGTTTCAGACTAGCCTGGACTATATAACGAGATTCCAAAGAATCCATCCTCACAGGCAAGGAGTCCCTTCCTCTAAGTCCAAGGCTGTGCAGTCCCACCTCTGGACAGTGGGCAGCAACTGGGGCAAGGACCCTTGTTCTCCTCTGCAGAAGCGTGAGCTCAGAACACACCACACCTGGTAAAACCAGCCCCCAGCCACCCCCACAGCAATCAGCCTCCAGTCACCACAGGGTCACCCCTTGGAGTGTCAAGTGTGTCAGGATGTGCTGTGCTCATCCACCTTCCTGGCCACTGGGAAGCACATATCTGCTAGCCTGTGAACATGCATGAACACGCCCAGCCAGGGCTACTGGCTGCTGCTTCCCTACACAGCACCAGACCTAGTCTTGACTTGAGGTATCCTTGGGCTATGTATGGTTGCTGTATTTGTGACCAGTATGTCATGTGTTTGATCTGATAATGTCAGTAGCCCCCTCCCCCCGAAAAGAAGTTAGGCTGCCAATAAGAGGCAAATTCTGGATTCCCCAAAGCTGGCATCACCAAACAGCCCTGTTTCTTCTTCTATAAGTATTGAGATAAATCTCTCGTACCATTTCCACCTCCATGCCAAGGCTTGGGGTAGACAATGGCAGCCCACAGAATAGGAGGGAACATTCACAAGTCAAATGTCTGATCCTGAATTAGTGTACATATGAAGAGTGTCTATAACTCCAAAATGAACAGTTTAAAAATGGGCAAGAAGCCAGGCGTGGTGGCGCACGTCTTTAATCCCAGCACTCGGGAGGCAGAGGCAGGCGGATCTCTGTGAGTTCAAGGCCAGCCTGGTCTACATAGTGAGTTCCAGGCCAGCTGGGGCTACAGGGAGACCCTGTCTCAAAAAGACCAGAAAAAAAAAAAAGGGCAAGAAAGGGTGGGTGCAGCCCAGCTGGTCAAGTGCTTGCCTGGCTTCCTTCTCCAGCAAGGAATAAGCTGGGGGTAATTGTGCACACCTGTGATCCCAGCTAGAAAGGTCGAGGTCACAGGATCAGAAGCTGAAGGTCACTCTCACTACATAAAGAGTTCAAGGTCAGCCTGGGACACATGAGTTCCCTCTTTTAAATGGGGGGGGGGGCTGGAGAGATGGAGGGCAAAATATGGAAATAACTAATTCTCCGAAGAAGATACACAAGTAGGGCCAGCCAGACAGCTCAGCAGGTAAATGTGCTTGGAGCCAAGTCTGACAACCTGAGTTCAGTTCCTGGGACCCATATGATGAAAGGAGAGAATCAGCTCCAGCCAGTTCTCGAGCCTCCACAAACATGCTGTGACACACACGATAAATGAAATAAAAATGTTTAATAAAAGAGGTATTAATATTTTAAACAGAAGATATGGGGCTGGAGAGATGACTCAGCAGTTAAGAGCACTGACTGCTCTTGCAGAGGACCGGGGTTTGATTCCCAGCACCCACATGGCATCTACGAACAGTCCTTAACTCCAGTTCCAGGGGAAACTGAAACCCTCTTCTGACCTCCACAGCACTGCACAACCTGGGTGCACTTACTTACATGCAGGCAATACACTCATACACATAAACAAAAATTTTAAAAATTCTTAAAATTAAAAAAAAAAGATATAGAGCTGAGAAACTAGCACATGTGAGAAAATGTCCAACATCACCAGCCACCAGAAGATCAAAACCATGGCAAATTTTCACATCATAAGGATGGCCAGTACGTCAGGAAAAGACAGTAACAAGTATTGGTGAGAATATGGAAACCAGAAAGTCAAAGCCAAAATCCCTCTACTCTCTTCCAACCGGAGTTCCTCCACACAGTTTTTCTAACTAAAATACCAGAATATCATGTTTCTGTAACAGGGGTTTGGGGAATGGACAGGTACGAGACTTAGTGGGGGAGGGGGTTCTGAACAAACAGCATGGGGAACCACTGCCCTGGGAAGCTTCCCAGGGGCCTCTGCAGGCAAGTCATGATTTTGTCTCTCCTGCTGAGACTCAGGCCCACCCTGCCCATGTGTTTTGCCCACCCCGAAGGCAGAGGCAGAAAAGGAACCCCATACCAGCTGACTGTACCCATGGCTTCTGCCCCATGTTCTCTTGCTTTCTGTGACTCAGGTTCTTGGGAGAACAGGGCTTTAGCGCCCTTCTGGTTCCAGAAATCCCTGAGGCCCCTGAAAAATACCTGCTTAAAAGGAGGGAGGGGACCCCAAACCTCAGCACCTCAAGTCCTAGTCTAGGATAACTTTCTAACAGGAAGAGGGTCACCAGGGTTATGGAGCTCTGGAAAAACCAGGAGGAGCTGGGGGTGGGGGCGTGCTAAACAGCATCAGGTTGTCCTGGATGGCCCCGCAACCCCCAACCGGCCCTGAAGGGCACCTGATTTGTTCACCCCAGTGGTGAGCCCAGTTTTAAAGTGTAGGAGTGTACCCTAAGGTTTTAAACTTTTCAAAACTATGCCCTGGGGCCAGAGGCCTGGTTCAGTGATACCTCACTTCTCACTTGGCCTGTGTGAGGCCCTGGTTCCATGCTCAACACTTCAAGAAAATCAAAAGTATGTTCACTGTAAATTCAACTTTTCACCATATTTGTAAGGAGACCCACACATCTAATTAAAAGAAAAGTTTCATTGCACTCTAAAAGTTTCTGTTCTATCTTCTGTTACAAAATTACTGGTGGTGACTCATTAAATTGATTTCAAAATGCTCTGAACAGCAGGGTCCTAGATGGCACACCCTGGTGGCAGCCTGGGTGTGGGGACTGATCTGGGGGATTCCCACTGACTGGGGTTTGGGGCAGGACCTGTGACAGGTGCCAGCCTAGGCCTTGGCTTCCAAGGTAACCCCTCCTCAGGCACTGCAAGTCCCCAGTGGTTCTTCCCCCAAAAGCTGCCCAGCTGGGTGGGGGTGGCTCTGACCCGGCTGTCCCTGAGGGCTAAGGATTCTCCAGGTGCTCCATACATCATGCCTATGAGCCCAGCAGGAATGGTGGACACCTGAGCCTGTGCGGGGCTCCCTCAGTCTTTGCAGCAGGAGAGCAAGAGAGTTCCTAGTGGTGGGGGAGGCCCCCAGAGAGGTCAAGGAGGCAAAGGCATCTGTCATACCAGAGGGAGCCCAGGGGTGCTGCTTGCCTTGTTTGTGGGCTCACCACCCCCAGGCAGGATGTTCTGGGGAAGCCCTACATCCCCTTACCAGCCACTGTCTCTGGGCAAGGTCCAGGGGGGCTTGGTCTGGGTGGGTGGATAACATTTGGCCAACATTTTAAATCTGGACCCTTCCAGGCCTCTGCACAGACAGGACTCCAGAGTCTCCTCAGCTGGGGCTGTAGTGGTGGCAGTGGGCCTGGTCCACAGGGAGACTTCTAGGGAAACTGGGCCCTAGAAAACTTTTCTAAGTGGAGGGAAGAGCCCCGCCGCGCGTCCGAATCTAACGAAGCAGGGACAGTGCCCTGGGCACCTCCCACCTGGAGCCGCGGTCTTAGCCCAGGATAGCTCGGTCCCTGTGGTGCTGGAGAGCTAGCCCCTTCCTCTCACCTGGGGCAGGTGCGCCCCAGCTCCCAAGGACCTCCAGGCTCCCTCCCGCCCCTCCGCAGAGTGCTGGGGACGGGCAGCCCGCGGCCCCTACCTCTCTGCGTCTCCAGCTGCCGGTAGTTGGGGACCCTGTGGCTGGGGTGCGTTTTCACCAGGAAGGAGCGCGGCATGGTCTCCTCCCGAGCGGCGGGGTCGCGAGCCTGTACCGGGGTACCGACCGCAGCGTCCGCCCGGCACCCGCGGGCGGCGCAGCCAGCAGGTGCGGGAAGGGTCAGGCTCATTAGCATAGCGCACGGCCTCGGCCAACCAGCGTGGGACGCGGCGGGGCGTGGTCACGGCGCCGCGCCCAGGACAGGTGCGCGGGTGGGGCACCGGCCGCGTGGTCGGTGGTGTCCGCCCCCGGCCCCGGCCCGCGTCGTGGTCACGCACGACCCCGCGGAGCTGGCAGTCCACCTGCCGTGGACGTAAGGGCAAAGTTCAGGGGCGAGTGGACATCGCCGGGTTGCTTGGAGAGCCGGCTCTGTCCAGCAGCCCGCAGCCGCCCCTCTCCTCCCCTGTACGCCCAGGCAGGATGGATGAGCCTAAGCCCTGAAGTTCAAAGTGGTCCCACCTGGGCAGCCATAGTGGCAACCCGGGCTCAGCTCCAGAACAGGTGCCTGGGGGAGATGGGCCTTGGAAGACCTCCCTCTATGGGGACAACACCACATGCTTCAAGCGAGCTCATTTAGGGGGCTGAAGTGATGGCTCAGCGGTTAAGAGCACTGGTTGTTCTTGCAGAAGACCTGGGTTCGGTTCCCAACATCCACATGGCTGCTTACAACCATCTCTAACTCCAGTTCCAGGGGAATCTGACACCCTCTTCTGACCTCTGTGGGCACTGCATGACATGGGTGCACTTACATGCAGGCAATACACTCATACACATACATACAATGAATCATTGTTTTTTTTTTAAAAAAAAGCTAATTTAGGACAGCTTGGAATTCCTTGTAGTTATGGGAAGTGTGATAAAAGAGGGTAATTTGTGTGTGTCCAGCAACTTGCACAAGCTGTTCCTCTCCTCTACATCCTTTATAATATGCACCCCAGAGAACCAGGTTCAGTCCACTCTGTCTAGGTCCCTCTCGTGGATGCTTACAACTCTGGGGATCTGGTGGGGATCAGTCTCAGGTTGGGTGGACATAGCACCCACCTGACCTCCCCTGAGCCCCTGGGTATGCCTGTAGCAGGGCAGCAGAGCTGTCTGGCTAGTGCTGTTCTTTACCCTATAACCTGGCATTCCGTGGCTTCTGTGGGCTGAGGTGGGAAGGGGAGGTGAGACTTCTGTAGGGTAGGAGACAGTGGGGAAGAGGGCTGTCATACCCTGTCCACATTTCTACAGTTGTATGGCATGGGTGCTTAGGTTCATCTCATTCCCATTCTCCATAGGAGAAAACCAAGGGTCTGAGAGATCTGGGGACAACAGAATTGGGACTAGTCCACACTTTGGGCCTCCTAGATGTGGTTGTGGGAGCTTATTTGTTGCTGGATTAAGGGAATGTGGAAGCATGGGACATCTGTGGAGAGGCACCGCACTGTTGTGGCTGACATGTGCCTGCGGCTGCCTGCTCACCTACTCCTTGGCTTCTTAAGGTTCCTGTTTGTAGTCTTTCTTACCTCTCCCCTTCCAGGCACAGATAAGGCCTGTGGTTCCCAAACAAGCCCCCACCCATACTGTCCTTCCTCCCTACCCACCCACTGTGTGGCCACTGGCCAATCCTCCAAGTTCATCTCCCAATCCCCTTTAAGGGATGCTCTGGCACACCTGAGGGGAACTGCCAATCTCATGAAGGGTTCTGGGTCTGCTTTTTTTTTTTGGTCTTTTTGAAGCAGGGTCACCCCGTAGTCCCAGCTGTCCTGGAACTCACTATGCAGACCAGGCTGGCCTTGAACTCACAGAGATCCACCTGCCTCTGTCTCCCAAGTGCTGGGACTACAGGCGTGCGCCACCACACCTGGATATGGATCCACTTTTGAAGTGGGGTCAGTGGCCCTTTGGGGAGCCACAACTCACTACCCTGAAGAGAGCTTAAGGTCTCCACTTCTCAGGCTCCCCCTTTGTGCTTGTGATGATGGCTCATTCTTCAGCTATGACTCCTGGCAGGTCCCCTAGAGTAAGAGAGAATAGTTGTTTGCAGTACTGGGGTTTTAAAATCCAAGCCCCCTGTGGTGGGAAGCCCCCTCAGTGGGAGGGAGGCTCGCCTCAGCCAGTGAGGCTTTGCTTTTACGATGCCACACTGCTGCTTGAATACCCGGACTCCTCTGCTGCCCGTGTGCAGTGCTGGACACCCAGCTTCTACGGCAGAAGTCCAGATCTGGGGACCAACTCATAGGCCTCAGCAGTGCTCTGAGCAGCTCCCAGCAGCACCTAGAAATACTTGGGGCTGGCCACAGAACAGCCATCAACACTGGCAATGAGGGTGAAACACAGTGACAAGCACCCCATGGCTTAGATTGTGTCCCTTCAAGGTGACATGCCTATGCATGTGACTTGATTCAAATACTAAGTCTTTGTAGATGTCACTAATTCAAAAGGTCATTAAGGTGGGCTCTAACCCAATGATTAGTGTCCTCATAAAGAGGGCGGGGGGCAGTTATGGTATCAGGACAGGGGCTGCATAGGGGTGGCTGGTACGTCAGGATGGAGGCCTGATCAGCCACTAGAAGCAGCCCTTGTCACCTTCCTTCACTGTCCAACGGACTTCTGGCCTCCAGAACACATCTGTTTATATACCCCACAGTGTGTAACTCTTCCAGCAGTTCATGACACTGGTACAGATGGCATCCTGGACAAGTTGCAGTAGCAGGCCAGGGTCTGCCCTGCAGCAATGCGGCAGCTTTGTGGGGTCACCTGTGTCGCTGTCCCCTGCTCCTAGTGTCCTGTCTTCCCGTGCACGTGGGTTCTCTATTGTCTCCCAGGATTTCTGAAGTTCAGAACTGGTTTGCTAACATGGGGAGTTGCAGTCTGTAAACAGCCTTTCCAGCTTTTCTTCTCCCTGCTCTTGCCTGGGATAAAGAGCTCTTGAGGGGCCACAGCAGGACCCATCTTCCCACTTCCTTGGCCTGAGGCTCAGAATAGGCGACTGGGGTCTTTGCTCTTGCCCTACAGAAAGCTCCCCACTTACTACCAAGTGACCTTGGTTGGTGATACTCCTTGGGTTTTCTAGCGAGCTCTTGGACCTCAGCCCTTGGTGCTGACCGTGTTTGTTTAGAGAGAGGGTGGGGAGGGCCCAAAAGGAGGGCAACCGAGACGGACTTTCTGCACTTGTTCCCAGCTTGGGGCTGGCTCGCCCAGGTGTTTCATATACAGCCAGCCTCTCTCAGACCTGGGTCAAGGGTTAGTCTCCTGCAGATGCCTCGATTTCCAGGCGAGCTAAGTAGGAAGCAGGAGGGCCTCACCCTGTCCTCTCCTAGGCAGGCTTGGAATAGGGGCTCCAAAAACTTCATCCGTGCAACAGGAACAGTAGTTTCTGCATTTTCTCTAGGGTCTTGTGTGCACAGACTGAGATGTTCTTTCACAAAGCAGGTGAATTCCAAGGCCCGGCACAGATTTGCCAAAAGGATCAAGGGAAGGCAAGACTCCAGTCTGCAGGTGCACCGGATGGGTGAGGTGCACTGGCAGCTTGGTTTGGGAGGCAGCTGCTGGGGCACACAAGACTGGAATCTTGGAAATCACATCTATTGCATCTGCCCTGCTACTGTGGGGGAGCACACAGGGCTCCCAAGACTCAGAGGTATGGGTAACTGGCAGAGTCCTAGGGCTAAGGATCTCCATCTCTGAGGTTTTGCCTCTGGCTCACCACCTGACCCTTTCCTAAGGAGAACATCCCAGGTACCTGTGACTAGGGTGCTTTCTAGGAAGCAGGCTGCTAGCTTTCAGTGCTGTTGCATAACCTGAAACTAAGGACATGTTGCTGCCAGCCCAAACTTCTGACACTAGATCCCGCAGGGCACAGCAGCATAGGCTGGGGGAGGATGGTTGTGGGGGAGACAAGGGAGGCCCAGCTGGCTTCCTGAGGTGTTGAGCATCCTAACTAACCCGGGGTCGGGGGAAGAACTTGGCTTACAGAACTCCCAGTCTAGAGATGATGAACCACTCACATCCGAGCTACTGCACAGCCACCGGGCACCCACCCAGCATGGGACAGGGGCCACCTGATCACAGGCTGATTTGCCCACAGTCTGGGAATCTGTTCTTCCCCCCACCTCTGGCAACCCTCACAAAGTAACTGTAGCAAGAAGCTGGTATGCTGCAAGCTTATGAGAGGTTACGGCCCGTTCTCTGGGGCAGCCCAGTTTCAGAGTCCAGCTACTTGGCTCCAACAAGGATTCTGTCAGAATATACAAGGGGTGGTCTGCTGCTTTCTGAGCCCAAGGCTGCCTCACTGTTGCATGGCAGGGGTCTGCTGACAACTGTCTTGTCTATTTCCTACCTTCCTTGGGCTTCGTTGTCCCCTCCAGAAACTCATGGAATTGCCTCAAAATGGGGGGGGGGCACACGAGACTGTGATGTTGCCTTCAGCCGGATGCTGTCCCACAGCTTTGCTGGTGGGGTGCACTCTCTAGAAGTCTAGATGAACTGGGGAGGGTGTAAACCTTCCTGGATGTAGGAGGTATAGGTTATGTCCCATCCCAGAGCCTTGAAGGTAGCCTCAGGGCTCTCACCGGCAGCCCCAAGGAATGGGGTAGAAGGCCTGCAGGCCCAGACAGAGAGGGCATGAATTGGACTTCATGGGGTGGAATGTTCCAGAAATGATGGACAAGTTTAGGGAGCTGTGTGCAGTGCAGGACGCCTTCTCCTCACTCCTACCTCTCAGGGACTGCGTTGCCTGCAGTAGTAGTGGTTGTGGTTCACCCAGAAGAGTCCCTTACTCAGTAAGGACAGTGGCCAGTGAGGGGACACAGGAGAGGGGTCCCCTCCTGCCTCTGCGTCTGCCTCCCATCACAGCAGGAGCAGCTGGGTGAGCCTCTTCCTTTTCCTGCCCCACCTCTTGAGGGATGGAACCAGATGCCACAGTGTGCGGGGCCTGAGGGTCTCACTTGGTCTGGTTGGTTCCCAGATACTCTGCCTGTGCTGCCCAGAAGCAGAGCCACATCCAGAAGGTCAGGCTGTCCCGTAGCCTCAGCCACTTATGCCAAGTAGCCATGGTCATGACTTCACAATCTGCTGTTCGCCCTCCCTTCCCTGGGCCCAGAGGCTTGCCGGCGCTGCAGCTTTGAGGAGCCTTAAAGACCAGGCCTGCACTGAGGCCACCAAGGTGCGACACGCAGCAACTCATTCATCTCAAGCAGAGGGGTGCTGCTCAGGTCAGGGCCTGCTGTGACAGGCCCCAAAGCTGCCTCCAGGGCTCCCTAGGCACGAGGTCATGCCCTGTGAGGGCTCCATGTGTCACTGCAGTCCATCATAGCTCAGGCCTGGGCCTGTGAGAACTGCACCTCAGCTCCCGCTGGGCAGTGAGTAGCTGCCCTGGAAGTGCTGAGCTTGGCTAGCAGCCAGGGGATAAGCAAGCCCTGTCCTGCTCTGAGGGCTCTCAGATGTGGATAGCTCAGCAAAGCCCCACTTTTGGAAGGCATGGGGAGGCCAGGCTTGCTGCAGCACTGCCGACCCCAGAACCTAACACTGCCCCGCAAGGGCCTCCCAGCCATGGGAGCTAGACAGATGGGAATCTGAAGGTGACTGTTTCTTACAAGCTGTTGTTTGTCCAGGAACCAGGGCCCCTCAAGTTACAGCCTGGGGAGACCTTCTACTTAAGTGTGAATGGTAACAGAGGCCTGCTACTGAGTGCCACCCCGAGAACCAAGTGGGACAGAGAGGCAGGTGATAGCAGTCTATTCATAATGGCCATCCGCTGTGGGACTGGCTGCCAGGTGATTCCTGAGTTTTTAAATTTATGATGATTATTGTGTTTTTTGTTGTTGTTGTTGTTTAGAGAGGCTTTCCCTGTAGCCCCAACTGGCCTGGAACCTAAGTAGACCAGGCTGGCCTCCATCTCACAGAGATCTGCAAGCTTCTTCTCGAGTACTGGGATCAAAGGTGTGTGTCACCATGCCCAACTTGTTATTTTGTTTACAGTGTTTTATTTGTAATCTTTGCTGACCTGGAATTTGCCATGTAGGCCAGGCTGGCCTTGAACTCCAGAAATCCTCCTGCCTCTGCCTCCTGAGTGCTATTCTAGGCATGAACCACTAACTCCAGCTCTCCTCAACTTTTAGAGGCCCTTGGTTTTAGAGGACAGCAGGGTGCCCTATGCCCTGGAAGTGTTCCCTGGAAGAGTCCTGAGCAGCTGGCCTACCTCCCAGGAGCCAGCCTCAGGCTGGTGAGAAACAGGAACTGGAGGCTGTCAGGAGCTGGTACAATGTCTCCATTCCTCTGTAGGCCCCCAGAGGCCAGGGAAGCTAGGCCAAGGGCACACAATGGCACAATAATCCGGGAGGAAGGACCTGCAGATGGACACAGAGGACAGGCTGGCGACCCCAGGAGACCCTGAGTGAACCCAGCCCCAAGACTGCCATGATGCTTGGAGACATTTTATTTAAACTTTAAAAGACAGCGATAATTGATGCCGTGACCAAACCAGAGTTGACAAATGTTTTCTTGCCTGACCTGCCACCAAGCAGGCCAGTTTGGCCTCTGACAGCTCTGCCAAGGCAGGGGGCAGACGTGGTTGGCTCTGAAGGGTGCAGTGGACAGAGGACAGTTTCTGGGGCAGAAGAAGATCCCTGTCCAGCCTGGGCTGCCCTGCATCTGCTGGGTACAGCCACAGCAAATAGCCAAGGGTGTTGAGATTTCTTCGTGGTCATCAAAAAGAAACCAGCAAACAAGAGCCCTCAAACAGCAAGTGGCCTGGGGATACCACCTCTGTCCCACGCACAGGCGAAACCCTGGTCACCCTCATGGCTGTGCCCACCACTCCTTCCCTCTTTGCACTGATCCCACACATTTATTTTTGATTGTTTTTTTGTTTTTTTTTTTAAAAATATAACTTTGTAAATGCTCCATAAAAATACTATTCTTCCTAGTCAAACAGACACTGTGATATGAAGAGGGGCTGCTTTGACTCTGCGCTATAAAATGTGGAAAGGTTATCACAGGATAGATAGAAAAATGCAGGGCTCCTAAGTATCACAAAAGCCAGTACCAAATGCTCACGGTGGAAGCGAAGCTGGGGACCGGGTGGGCTGGCGGCCTTGGGCAGGTGCCTCCTCCCTCGGTCCTGCTGGGGCACAGCTCAGGGCACCCCATTCTCCTCCACATGAGGACATCATGGGAAGAGGCAGCCGACTGCCCTAACCCAACGGCCAGCACCTGCCCCTCAAAGCACCAATGACCCAGTGCTGCTGGACAGGGCCCAGCAGCCCTGCTGACGGCAAGGGGCCAGCTAGCCAGCGTCCTGGCCCTAGGGACTCTGGGACCAGCTCTCCTCGTGTGAGACTCCACTTGGCCCAGCCAGGCGTGTTCCTGTTGCAGGTGCCAGAGCAGGAGGGCAACATCCCTGTCCCTTGAGGTGGGAGGGTATCTTCCACCCCAGGTTTGGGGCAGGTAGCCAGGCTGTGCCTCAGTTCTCAGAGAGGGACAGAGCCAGGGCAGCCTGGAAGGCAGCTTCTTCGTCAATGCTATAGTCCTGGAAGCAAGCAGCAGAGATGAGCAGGGAAGGGTTGGGAGGACTCCGCAGAGCCCTAGTCCCAGCAGCCAGTCCACCTCCTCTGTGCTAGTCAGCCCAGACAGACCTGCTGTCACTGTGGTCCCATGCCTCCCTTCACTGAAGTCCTTGGGGTACTAGAGCTCCATCCACACTGGTAACCCCACCCACCTTCATCCAACTTCCCTAGTTCTTTCCCAGCAGGCTCTAGAGGGTGGCCTGGGCCCATGTGTGCAGGACAGCAGTCTGCAGATTCATGACCTTGCCTGAGGGGGCCGGGTTCTGTGGATTGAGCTATTCTTCCCCTTCCGATGGTACAAATTGGGTTTCATATCTTATTTCTTTCATGTGCATGTGTGTATACGTGTGGGTATGTGCATGCCAGAATCATGTGTGGGAGTCAGTTCTTTCCTTCCACCACATGGGTCCCAGGGATTGAATTCAGGTTGTTAGGTTTGGCAGCAGAAACCTTCACCCAATGACCCATTTTTCTAGCCAAGAACTGGAGTTTCTGAAATGAAAGTCAAGCGAGGCAGCAAGACCTCCAGCCATGGGGACCAGAAAGACAGGAAGTCCTGAGAGGCTGAAGGCTACAGGTGATGGCAGAGATGAGGGAAGTATGCCTGGAGGTAAGAGCCTAGGTGGAGGGTTTGTAAGTGGGCTGTACCCTCCTGACCTGGTAGGGGAAGGGGCAGGTGCTCCTGGGACAGTCCCTCCAGTTTCTCTCCAGAAGCACCAGAAGGAAACCTGGCCCACCTGAAACACTGTCCCTGAGGCTGCTTCAGGCCCAAGGTACTGTCTTAGGGAGGGCCAGAGAACCAAGGGACCCAGGACCCAGGAGCAGAGGCCCTTGAGCTTGGAGGCCTGGTGCCCTCCAGTGGTCACTGGGTCTTAGTTCTGACACGCCCTGGCAGGGGCCACTCTGGAGAGCCCAAGGGAAGCTGAGCACACCTACCACGAAGGTGTCATAGGAGAACTTGTGCCGGTGCAGCAGGTGCTGCAAGAAGTTGGCGCTTTTGTAGCTGGGGTCCCCCCAGGGCATTGCTGAACAGATGGGACACACCTGGAACAGAGGGGCCAGTGTTAACAGGGAGAGGCCTCCCCATCTCCTCAACTACACCCCACTGTAATGTTCCCTTGGATTTTGCCAGGGGCTGCTGAGATACTGCCACCCTCCCCTGCCCCCGAGGCTGGGCTTCTGTTCTCCTATGTTCCCCTCAGAGCAGGGAGGAACTCTGTGCTTTTGATGCTCACCACCCGGTTGGGGTCGCTGCGGTGGCTCTCCACGCAGTGCTTCACCAGCTCCTGCTGGTCTAGGTTTCGGGCACCGCAATAGGGGCAGGCGAAGGTTGACCGATTGGGGATGTTGCTGGGGGTGGGAGGACATTCAGCAAGGCTGGGGCTAGGGTTGAGACCCTCCCTGCACCCACTTCTCCCAAACACCTGCCCTCCCCTCTGAGGACAGCACAGGTGCCAGTGGCCTCAGGCTGCAGATAGGAAAGAGACAGCATTAGAAACCTGAAGACCAGCCTGGCTCGCACCCACACCCTGCAGCCCAAGGAGAAGCACAAGATTCCTAAGAAAACTCCCGTCCTCTCCTTTACCCTATTCACCTTTTGTCTGGGAATTGCCCTCACTCTGCCCATTTGAGTCTCACACCTAAGGTATTCCCCTCCCCACCCCAAAAGCTACCTACCTGGGGACAGGCTGGGATGTGGGCACCACAGGGACGAATTTTGGGCAGTTAGCCATCTGCTCCTGGACCTTGAGGCAGGAGGAAATGTGCACTCTCATCTTCGCCAGTGTCACCTAGGAGATGGGAAAAGCAGTGCCAGGCAGGTCAAGGAGACCTCAGGCAGCAGGGACAGAGAATGACCCATAAGAGCCACCTGTAGCAGCAGACATGTCCCTTCTGTTCCTAAAACATCAAAGGCTCTGAGCAGCAACCTACAGCTGAGGTTTCTGGGAGGGCCCTAGTGAGGAAGAGACACCACATGAAGACAGAAGGACTCATGTCTCCAGTGAGCCACAAAGACACAGCAGTGGTCACGGCCTCAACGCAGATGCATGCCACCAGCCCCTCAGGACAGGCACATCCTGTGCCCAAACTTCCTAGAGACAGCTCCATGTGGGAAGCTGTTCCAGGGAGGGAAGAGATTGGCATTTATTAGGGAAAAAGCCCCACACCTCCCAGCAGGAACCAGTGGGGGATTCCTTCTCTGCCAAACACCTTTAGGGGTGAAAAGCACAACAGTGTGATAGAACTACGAACCAGCTGGTCCCATTCCCAGTCCACATGGCCATGCCAGGGTGAGCTGGCCAAGGGCAACAGCCTGGTGTAGAAACGGGGGATGGGGAAGGGGAGAGGATGCTCACCAGGGAGAGGCTTATCTCAGCATGGCTCAAGTGAGTGGCCCAGAAGAAACAGAGCCAGGGCCAGCCTTCCCTTGAGGGTGAACACAAGGTTCTGACCCCTGGTACACACCAAAGCTGGGGTAGACACATCACAGGACTGAAGAGGAAGGAGGGCATGTGAAGACACCAGCCTTGGTGGGTGAATGAGGACACCGTCCTCGGCATCCAGAGTTTACACCCAGGACTAAAGGGTTCAAGAGGGTCTCCTTGGGGTCACCTGCCCCAGCTGAGCATCCATGTAAGGAGACATGCTCCAGAAGACCCAGCTTAGAGAACTGAGGTGCCCAGGAAAGGGGCAGGGCCACTTCACATGTGATAGTCACAGGATTTTGACCTCATCTCTCTAGGAGAAAAGACCTAACCCAAACACTCAAGTACCAAGAAGCTGGCTCATTCTCACTACCCTGGCGAGAGCAGCCCCAGTTCATCTGCCTGGTGATCTTCAGGACTCTGTGACAAGTTAATAGACTATTAACTGGAGACACAGCAGTGTCTGAAATGTAAATTGTAAATGTGTTCCCAGCTGCTTGTTCCCCAGGAACTGTGGAAACAAAGGGGCCTCCCACCCTGTGGTGAGCTGCGTGGGTACCACGGAAGGTGGGAGCCAGGCAGACTGGGGACAGAATGCTGTAAGGATGTGGGCAGCAGTGCTCACACTCAGGACTGGCAACAGTATCAGCTACAAGGGGTTCACATTTAAAGGGCCCTAACTGTCTGGCTCTACCGCCCACCTCAGAGCTCCCTTGACTTGTCACAGCCTGAATGCCCAGTCTGCATCTATGGAATCCACATCAGCTACAACATGCTGAAGTCAGCTGAGCCCAGGTCAGGCGCCCTGGACAGCACTGCTTCCTTGGGCCTCTGGAAGGAGCAGCAGCAAGGTCTGGCAGATGGCCTCACAGTGGAGCAGAGGCAGTTACTCAACAGGAAGGGATGGCAGCCCATGCACCCCACTCCTCTGCGGAAGCAGAACCATGGGCGGAAGCCGCCCCACCCAGGGCCCCCCAGCCTCAGGAAGCCCGAGCAGGGCCGGTACCTTCTTGGTGCAACCCCGGCAGGGTGCCTTGTAAGATGAGAGCTGCTTCTCTACGTGGGTGGCCTTGTCCACTTTCTTGGGGTCGAAGGGCAGGCGGCAGAGTGGACACAAGGGAGACGGCACCTGCAGACACGGCTGGAGGCATTCCCCACAGAACCTGCGGGTGACATGGGCCTGAGGCTACTTCCGCCATGTCGGCACATGCAGGACAGCTCCCCAGTCACTACTGATGGTTCTGGACAGTCGCTCCTTTGCTCATGCCCCCCAGCCGGACTTAGCTAGAAAATGATCCATCCCTCCAGCTGCTGGGCCCTCCTGCATCTGAAACACTAGCTCTGTTGCCCATATCCCAGAAAGCTTTCACTGGGGCCGATACCAGATACTTTCTTGAAGGGTTCCTGATCATAAGTGATGGAGAGCAGCACTCAGGAGTCAGGGCATTAGCTCAGGGGACAGGGAGTAAGGTCACTAACAACTGTGAGGAAGGAAATGCCAGGGCCCAGGACTCTGGATTCACTGCATGGCCAAGACTGGCCAGGTGAGTGCCCCGGACTGTGTTCCAGCCAGCAGGAGCTCTTGTACCATGTGAGTCAAGGCTTGGTGACAGGAGGGTGCTTGGGCTGGCTCAGGTGCTGGACACTGAAGCTCTACAAGGACCTGAGCTCTTGCTGGCATGCTCCAGGACGCCAGCGGCAGGAGTCCTGCCTTTGACTGCCCACACCCCCAGCTGATGTTTGCACCAACTCCCACTAGTGGGAGCAAGAGAAGGAAAAAAGTGTAATTGTGGAGTGAGGTCTGCATGAAACCACAAGTGCCGAGGGGCCTTTAGTGGTGCCTGGAACACAGGACAAAAGATGGACCCCCAGCCTTGAGGGTGGTACTTAGAGAGAGGGGAGGCTGATTCAGCCCCCAGAAAGATGGCAACTTCAGACTGAGGAAGCATCAGGAAGCCCATGTGCAGTTTTACTTCTCCTTGGGACTGCTCACAGGCTGTGGGGTGGGGACAAGGAGCCATGTTGGCCAGAGGGGATGTGAGAATATTCCTGAATTTACAGATGACTCAGCCAGAGTTCCCTGTGTCATCATGAGATCTCAAGAGAAGGTCCTCTTTGCTGTGAGGACAGGTAGCCCACAACTCAGGGAGAGCCAAGGGCTCCTGCACCCTGGTTTCTGGACACCTGGCAAGTTGTGTTAGCTGAGCTAAGAGAACAGGCTGAGACCTGACACCAGGAAGTGAGAAAGGATTCTAAGGAGCACGTTCCTGCAGTCAAGAGGTAGCTCCCTTGTCACCTACCTCACCCTCACCCACACACCCACCCCTTAGTGCCCTAGCAAGTAGCTGAGGATGGTCTGTCACCGGCCCTAGGATCTGGTTGGCTGAACAGCCAGCCAGTCCTCCTACCTCAGCCAGCCCCCACAGGTGCTGGCAAGATGGTGCACAGTGGGGGCCTACAAAGACCCACACAGCCAGCATTCCCAGCTGCAAAAAGTGACAAGAGCCCAGTGTGTATCAGCAGATGGTAGGTGCACAAAGCTGTGTAGGACTGTTACTTGCCCATGAAAAGGAGTGGATCTTAGACAACACACTACCTGGAAGCAGGTTGACAGGATGCTGAGGGAAAGAAGCCCAGTACAGAAGACCACATACACTGTGTGGTACTATTTCTATGAAATGTGCAGCACAGATCAATCCCAAGAGAAGCTGATCGGTGGCTGCCAAGGGTGCAAGTGCAGGTGGTCACTGACCTCTTTTGGGGGTAGTGAATGGTCTAAGTGGTGTTAAAGGTTATGTAATTCTGAACGTACTAAAAACCAACGGGCTCTATGCTTTTTTTTTTTTTTTTTTGTCTTATTGAGACAGGGTCTCCCTGTAGCCCCAGCTAATCTGAAATTTGTTATGTAGACCAGGCTGGCCTTGATCTCTGTGAGATTCACCTGCTTCTGCCTCTCCAGTGCTGGGATTAAAGGCATGCACCACCACACCAGGAAGGTCTACACTTTTGTCTTTTTGAGACAGGGTCCCCCTGTAGCCCCAGCTGGCCTGGAACTCACTATAGAGACCAGGTCAGCCTTTGATCTCACTGAGATGTGCTTGCCTCTGCCACTCAAATGCTGGAATTAAAGGCATGAGCCACCATGCCTGGCTACACTTCTTAAAATAGCTTTGGTCTTAATTTTTAATTTTTTGGCACAAGAGCTCACTTTATGGTAGAACTCATGATTTTCCTACCTCAGTCTCCTGAGTGCTGGGATTGCTGGTGGGAACCACCATTCCTGGCTTGGAGTCTATACTATGAAAGAGCAAACTCTGCTGCTCTGAATTCTACCTCAATGAAACCATTAAAATCCACATGGAAAGCAAAGCCACATGAACAAGCCTGGTACCAGGTCATGGCCACTTCACTGGTAGATGGTAAAGGGCTCCCGGCAGAGATGGGAGTAACCGGCCTGTAAAGAAGGTACTGGTGGAGGTAGAAAGGAAGGTACCTATTCTCCTCCTTAGGGTGCAAGGGAGTCTCAAGGATGCTGGCTTGTCTACAGAGTCACTGTCCCAAGTCACAATCCCTAAGGAGCTAAGTATAATGAAGCATCCACATGGTGGGGCCCAGCTCTTGGCCTGGTTTCTAGAGCACACTTCTCCCACAGAGAGTTCCCACCTGCATCCACACAGAGTCTGGTGCTGGGCAGCTTCTCTGCCAAATGAAGCAGCTGAGGGCAGTGGGTATGGGGCCAGCTCTTCCCCCAGGCACTCGGTTCTGCTGAGGATGGATTTGAAGCTACAGGGCACTATTAATGCATCACCCCTTCCTGTGCTCCTGGACAGGCTAGGGATTCAGGTATCTTGGAGTAAACCAGTCCCCTCAGGCAAGGTTGCCTTGTGAAGGCTTTCTGGGCAATCTCAAGATTGCTCACATTCCAGCCCACCTGCTTTTTGACCTGATCTGGCTCACCGCCCAGGTATAGCTTCTCTGTGACCCTGGGAAGTTCCTGGAGAAACCAGGCAGGACCCCACTGGCAAGCCCCTTGTCTGCACCTGCAGTCTGAAAGCTCTTCCCACATCCTCTCCCTCCCCTGTCCAGGTGCCAGGACAACTACACTGCAGGGCTGCACTGACAAGAGAACTAAGGAAGGAGACTGCTTCTGGTCAGGTGGCTCACAGATGGGAGGAAAAAAAAAATCAGTGAATTTTAAAAAGTGATCTAAGAGTCCCTAAGAGTCCTTGTGGTCATGTGAATACATACTACACCTGACAGACACGGGGAGAAAATTAAAGGTGATGAGGACAGCCAGGAAAATGGAGCCAGCACAGAATGCAGGGACACCTTTTCACTGTGGAGGCTGGACAAATGGCTCTTGCAGGACGACATGCTTTCAAACCTGTACAGTCTGTGTCTTGCCGGACAGACAGCATCTTAAGATTGGGGGTTGTGGGGAGGAGGGCAAATACCAACCGGTGCAGACTAGGAAAGGAAAAGCAGTGGCCTATGTTAGGGTGAAGGTGCTGGAGACAAGGCGTTCAAACATGAGGCCCAAGACAGGCCTCACAGAACACACAGTAAGACGCCCACTCATGTGTGCCTATAAGAAATGGGTCCTGATCAAAGCCTGCCTTGCCAGAACAGAGCATGAGACTGAGTAGGAGTTATGCCCTTCCAAGACAGTTCAGCAGAGCTGTGCAGCCTGACACCACCTGACACCGGGGGCAGGGAAAGTGAAGGCAGGTCTGGATGAAGATGCAGTCCCTGCCACCTCCTGGATGACTAGCAGGCACACGCCCACCCAGTAGTCCCATTTTCCTCTGCATCAGGAGCCTCCAAAGTCAGCTGCCTCTGTTGGCAAAATGTCCTAGGGCCTCCCACCAGCCTGGGTGCACTTTGCCCAGCCTACAGCCCTGGAGCGCCCCACTTCCTTAGCAGCTTAGCCCTCTGCCGGGACGGCCTCCTGCCCTCTCTCCATCTGCATCTGTACTTGGGGAGGTCATAGAGCAGACACTATCTTGACTTCCTCCCAACAAGGCTGGAGCTCCAGAGGCCTAGAACACGGCTCCCTGCAGAGAGGAGTCAGTCTCAAGTTTCCTGAAACACCGAGGAGGAGCCAGCTGGAGGGAGGTCCTGGCTCAGCTGGACAACCTAGGAAGATGCTTGGTGTCTGGGTCCCTTCGGGCCTGCCTGGCTGGCAGCTCCACGTTCAGAGTAGCCCAAGTCCTTCAAAACAAAACAGCACCAGGCTCCAAATAAGCCCCTCCCCCTAACTTAAGGGAACTCCTTTCCTTGGTAGTCAAAACGAGCAGACATGGGGTTGAGAGTGGACTGCAAAAGCCACAAGTCATTTATTTACAACTGCCCGCCGGGTCTCTGCAAGCCCGAACCCCCGCGCTCGGTCCAGGGCCGCGGCCGCCGCCCCGGAGCAGCCGGCGGCGGTTGGCAGCGCGCGGGGCCGGGCGGGTGCAGGGCGTCCCCCGGCTCGGGTGCGGCCGGTGGGTAGGGGCCCGGCAGCTGCCTCTCCGCGCAGAGGGCAGGGCCTGCGTGCTCGCATCCCAGCGCGGCCGCTCGCCCGGACCCCAGCCTGGACCCCCCTCCCGTGGGCTACCGGCGCGCGCGCTCACGTGTGGCCGCAGCTGCCGATGGCCACGGGCCGGTGGTACACCTCCAGGCAGATGGGGCAGCTGAACTGCGCTTCCAAGCCGCTGTCTCCGCCCGCGGGCCCGGCCTGCGGCTGCCGCTGCTGCGCCGAGGCCACCAGGCTGCGGAACATCGCCATCCCGGGCCAGGCCTCCGCCGCCGCCCCCTGTCTAGGCAGGGCGGCCCGCGCGCGTCACCGCCGCGACGGCACCGCAATGGCGTCACGAGACGGCCCCGCCCCCCGCGCCTCACGGCCGCGCCCCTCTGCCTTAGCGTCATCACAGAGCGCCGGCTCTGCGCTGTGGAACTTCGTCGTCCCAGGCCGGGCCGGGTGGCCCGTGCGTCACCCCGCGAGGGCGTCACGAGACGGCTCCTCCCCCTGAGCGTCACGGCCGCGCCGCTCTGCACCTGGCGTCATCACGGCGCGCCGGCTCTGCGCCGCGGACCCCTGCAGAGACACTAGCCCAAGGGCTCCGCCATGTGTCAAGCCGGTGTGGACTACGCCGGGCTGGCGCAGCGGGAGCCTCCGCCCGCGGCGCGGCTTGGGTAAGCGTCTTCTGCCTCTGTGGCGGGCCGCTACGATCCAGCCTTCTCCCTCTCGGCTTCTGCTGGAGTCGGCCGCTAGGCCTAAACGGAGGCCCTGGTTCGTGCGTACGCCAGGGGTTCCCCCAGGCCCAGCTCAGGCTGGGAGGTGGAGCGCTGACTCCCCCGAGCCGGCTGGGTCAAGAGCCTGCTATGTGTGTTCTTGTTCTCTCCAAAGCCGGGAGCAGAAGTGTGTGAAGTGCGCAGACGGCCGGCCGGTGGTGGTGATCCGGGCGGGAGATGCCTTTTGCAGGTGAGGTCTGGGCAGCCTCGCTCTCCAGGTCTGCTTTCTTCTTTGGAAAGGCAATATTACCTTTGCACGTGAGTGTCACAGTGCTCCTGACCATCGTGTTGAAGTAGACATGGGAAGCATTGATAACATCCCCCCATCTAAACAGGACTCATGCCTTAATCCTAACACTAGGGATGCTGAGACAGAAGGATTGCTTCCAGTTCGAGGCCAGCCTCTGCTACAATGAAACCTTGTCAAAAACAAAAAAGATTCAACGAATCTCCATGATGGGTTCGGTAGTAGGGAGGTGTCTGGGGGAGCTGGTAGGTTGCCCAGACTTGCAGACCAGGTGTATTGAGGGGCAGGCATTTTGGGGCAGTTGAAATCCATCTAGGACAGGTCAGAGCATCTTGGGGGCTTAGGGGCAGATACTCTGGGTGGACGTTGTTCTTTCCTTCTTGAGATGTCTGTTTTATCTGTTGGGACACAGGCTTGGAAAGAATTCCAGTCTTCTCCCAGGCCGTGGAGGCCTTTGGACAGGAACACAAGGGTCTTTCCCCATTTTTATCTATATCTTTGTTAGCTCTGGAAGGGCAGGACCAGACGTCTTCCATTTTATCCTTCTAATTCCTGGTGGCAATGGGGTACTGTTTTGTATTTGTTTGTTGGGTGATTGAAATCTCACTTTTCTCAGTCCCTTGGGGTCTGTTTTCCACGATGCCCTACAGAAGACTAGTGGAGGGGGGCTGAGATTGATTTCCTAAATCTTGTCACAGGCCATGTTTTGGGAACCTTGGAGGATTGGAGGAAAAGGTGATGTCACCAAGAATTATAATCTTGGCAAGGAGGCACTGCTTTAACTATCTAGAACCATCTGAAAATGAGAACCAGTCTGATAATACAAATGCTGGACCCTCTCTTCTTCCTCTTTGCACCACATAGACAGACAGTGCTTCTGCCTGTGGGGGGTCTTGGGTGCAGGTCATCAGCATGTTTTATAATTGGGCTCTGTTGGCTTTATCCTGTTCTGACCTAAGGTTAGCCTTTCTGGCTGCTGGGCCCTTCTAAGCACATGTGAGGCTCTGCAGTTCACATCCAGTGTGGTCTAGGTGCAACCCTGGGAGCTGCAGTCAGGAGAGCTCCACCTGTTCTCCTCACCAGGCTCCATCAGAGTGTCTGTGTGGAGATAATGCCTGTAAGGGCGGACGTTGCTAGAAGATGGACAGTATCACCCAGGGGTTTGAAGCTGGTGGGCAGGTACAGAATAGCCTCTCTTTGCATCTGTGTTACAGGAATTGTTCTGTTACAGGGATTGTTTCAAGGCCTTCTATGTCCACAAGTTCAGAGCCATGCTGGGGAAGAACCGGCTCATCTTTCCTGGTGAGAAGGTACACAGAGGGCCTGGGGGCTTGACAGTTCCAGCTGCCTCCTTATGTCTCCTGTGCATGTTTCTTCAGCTGGTCTGCGATCTCTGGGCTTTGCGGGTATACCTGGTATCTGGGGCTATCCAAGAAGTGGGGCAGACATGCTCATGTTGAAGATGCACATCCTTATTGATGTCCCTCCCCCGCCACAGGTGCTCTTGGCATGGTCTGGGGGGCCTTCGTCCAGCTCCATGGTCTGGCAAGTTCTTGAGGTGTGTCGATACCCTGTGGGCCCAGATGGCTGGATTGGGGGGGGGGGCTCTTTCTCAGCCCTCACAGGGGTTTTGGTTGACACTGGCCAGAGCAGTCTCTCTCCTCCTCCCCCTCCATGGCTGGGACACCATGCGTACACAGCAGGCACAACCCAGAAGCTGCGCCTAGGTTTCCCAGCTGCGTTCCTCCTTCGCTCTGTTTGCCCAGCCTGTAAAATCAGTTACACAGGTTGGCTAAAGGTGACTGGTTGGGAACAGGAAGTATTTGCCAGAAGTTAAGGGAGAAATGGTCTACGTGGCAAGGGGGCAGATGGAGTAGGGACTCAGGCTGTGAACGCTGACACTGCTGTGAGTACATGGGCTTTCCGTGAGGGGCGCCTTGGAGACCCTGGCACAGCTGAGGGACCTGTGTGCTCCTGCCACTATGAGGCACCAACTAGAGGGGACAGAGAAGAGGCTGTGGTTGTTGGGATGGGTGTCACTGGTCTGAACAGAACCTGGGGCAACTGGCAGTGCTGCCCCAGTGTGGACCTCCTGTGTGGTGCTTATGTGGATTTTGTCTCATATGCTGCTCCTCTTAAACATGTGAGTGTAGAGGTGAGATAGCTCCCTCGGAGGCCATTTTTCAGTGCCCAGCACTGCCCCCCCTGGACTGGCTTCCCCTGCCTTTAGTAGGCTATTACCCTTATTCTTATGTAACAGAACACTTTCTGAGGGGTCTGAGGTGCCGAGCAGGTGGCATAGTGGCCCCATGACCAACTTCTCTCAGGCTGCTTGAGTGTCAGAGACAGACTGATGAGGATGGGTTCTGAGGTTTCTACAGACAAGGTGTACCCTCCTGTGGAAGGAAAGACCTAGACCCACATGCTCATCTCTGGGGAGGGAAGACCCAAACCCACACATCCTCATCTCTGGGGAGGGAAGACCCAAACCCATACATCCTCATCTCTGGGGAGGGAAGACCCAAACCCATACATCCTCCTGTGGAAGGGAAGACTGGACTGGTCGTTCTCTGCCAGGAAGGTCTGAAGTCCAGAAACACGCCTTTGGGCCAGGTCTGAGTCTCTGACACTTCCCCTCTAGGGCCTGAGTCAAGATTCTGCCAAACGGCTACGCTTTGTACCAGGGATCATCCATATTGATGGTAAGTCTGACCACCCCTCCTTCCAGGCCCCACTGGTCCTCCAGGGGACAGTCTAGGGTCAGAGGTACCTACCCAATCCCATTGAGGGGTCCAGGGGCTAAGGAAGGCGAGTTTAGAGGTGATCTTTGTAGGTGGAGGGCCGGGCAGTTTCTAGCCATGAGTGGAGCTGCCTGAAAACATCCCAAAAGAAAGGGCCAACCCTCGCTTTACAGAAACTATTGTTTTGCAGAGTAGAGCCTTACACTCTTCCTGCCTGGGTTTTGTAGAGGGAGCAGCCTGTGGCCAGAGCCCAGAAGATAGAGAAAAGACTCTGGCTGAGATGAAGCTGGTCCTGCAGAGCACTGGCTTCCCATGGCACATGGTCACCTTAGAGGAGGTGGGTGGGCCTACCCCTGGTAAAGGGCCCTGAGGTGACCTTGGGGGATGTCTATCAGGGTCACATGTTTGCTTTGCTCTTGGGAGCCAGTCTGTGGGCCTCTTGCCCTGGGACTTGGTTTTCCAGTGTGTTTTGGAGGGCAGGTGTGGGCCTTGGACTCACTGCCCTCTCCTACATCCTGGAAGGTATTCAGCTTGCCACCATCAGTGCTGCGCTGTGCTGCCCAGGAACCAGAAGGGACAGAAGAGACCTACAAGGCAGCTGTGGACAACTTTCTGCAACAGCAGCATGTGCTTGGGGCTGCGGGCAGTGCCAGCTCAACTCAGGGGGAAGAGCATCTACACCCATACCACAGCCAGGAACCCCCAGGCATGGCTAGGTCCCCTACAGCAGCTCAGACTGAGGCCTTGTCTAGGCTGTTCAGTTCCATAAAGACGCTGACAGCTAAAGAGGAGCTTTTGCAGACCCTGAGGTGAGCCTGACCTGAAGACCTGCCTGGCCTGGGGGACTCCTCCCCCAGTTTCTGCAGCTTTCCTGTGTCATAGGAACCACCTGATCCTCCATGTGGCACGATCCTATGGCTACTGCAAGGTGATGACTGGGGAGAGCTGTACCCGCTTGGCTATCAAACTCATGACAAACCTGGCCCTGGGGAGAGGAGCCTTTCTTGCCTGGGATACGGTATGCAGGGCTTAGGCCTGGGGTGCCCTCTTTGGCCTCCTTCAGTTGGAAGCACCTGTGGATCTTGGGTTCTCCTACGTGGAGGGGCCTGAGACCCACCATAGATGGTGGTGGCTGGAACAGGGGTACAACTAGGACCTCAGCCACAGCCCCTGCTCCCCAGGGCTTCTCTGATGAGCGCCACGGGGATGTGGTACTGGTGCGGCCCATGCGGGATCACACACTGAAGGAAGTGGCCTTCTACAACCACCTGTTTGCAGTTCCCTCAGTCTTCACACCAGCCATTGATACCAAGGTGGGCCTGCAGTGGACATCTGCACGGGCCCCTGGGGGCAGCTTCACAACACAGGATGAGAAATTCCTAGCATGTAGTTGGGGACCTGAACTGAGTCCACGTCAGCCAATTTCAGCCCTTCCTCCCCCAGGGCTGGCCTGTGGCCTCAGCACTTGTTACCCTGCTCCTGCAGGAGAAAATGGTAATGGCCATGTCTCCAAGGCCTCCCAGGCACGCCCTTTACCCTGGAAGAGCAGGCTGGTACCCATAAGGAAGTGATAGACACTGCTTGGAAGACAGTGGTTAAGGTCTGTCTCTGAGAGAATGACCTGTTAGCCACATCATAGAAGGGGTTCCTGTGCTGGTCTCCTCAGTCCCACAAGGGTGGACTTTAGGGACTGGCCATGTGAAACCCATGGTACCTGCTCTAGGGGCCCCCTGGCCCACCTACAGCCCTTCCATCTCATTGTTGCTAGGCCCCTGAAAAGGCCAGCATCCACCGGCTGATGGAAGCCTTCATCCTGAAGCTGCAGATGCAGTTTCCCTCCACAGTCAGTACTGTGTATAGGTGTGTGTGCCACTGGGGGGAGGGGCAGGAGAGGAGAGCTGCTGAGCCCACTGCCCATGCTTTGGGGGAGCACAGCCCTCTGTTGGGGCTTTAATCCTTGTCTGTGCATTTAACTACAGGACAAGTGAGAAGTTGGTTAAGGCCCCCCGGGAGGGCTGTGCCGCTGGCCCCTCAGGCCCCCACTGCCTCCTATGCATGTGTGTGCTGGACATCGACACTGCTGGTGGGTGCAGGGCCGCCTTGGGGTGCTGGGTGGGGTGAATATTTGGCTGCCCCAGGGTCCCCTCAGCCCCTCTCTGTTGCAGACAGTGCCACGGCCTTTGGAGCTCAGTCCTCACATCTCTCCCAGATGCTGCCGGGTGAGGCTGGGATGCCTGCCCCACCCTGCTGCTGTGCAGGGGAGGGCCAGGCTCAGAGCTGCCGTAGGGCAGTCTGTAGAAGGTGAGTTTCTGCCTAAGTCCTGCACTGTGGTGGGGGATCTGGGCAGAGCCCAGGGTGAAACCAGACACAAAGGTCCAGCTCTGCTTCTACAGGGGGGCCGCGCAGACCTGCATCACAGAGCAGCTGTGCTACAGCTGCCGGGTGAACATGAAGGACCTGGTAAGTGGCTGTCCAGCGTCCCTGTGAGCTGCTGTGGCCTCCATGGGGCTCAGTCCCCACTCACTACCATCTCTTTTAGCCCTCTCTGGACCCACTACCTCCTTACATCCTAGCTGAAGCTCAGCTCCGCAGCCAAAGGTAACTAACTACCTGCTCTGCGGGGAGCCTCTCTGGGGGAACCCAGGGCTGATTCTCACTGCTCTCTTCCCCAGGGCCTGGGTCACCCGGGAAATGCAGGAGTATCTGATCAAAGACAGTGATGACGAAGATGAAAAAGAATAGACAGGCAGAGCTGAGCCTTGAGGACACCACCATGCAGAGCCATCAACATCGAGCAGGAAAGCAGGGATACAGGGACTGGCCTGGGACTGTCATTTGTATAAATAAAAATGTTTTTAATTAGAAAACTCTACAGTACTTGTGGGAAGGGAGAGCCAGGCCCCTAGGCCCAATGTGGCTGGCTCTGGGCTACACTGGGCCCCCAGCACAACAGGCGGGGACGCAAGTGTCCCCATGGCAGCAGCATCAGGGCTCAGATGGGCCAAGGAAGACGTGTCACAGCTGGTGGCCTTGGGCAGCTACACCGTGACCCCCAGGCCCAAGGAACTCTGCTATCCCTGGTTGCCTCACTGCCCTGGGGCAGCTCCTTCATTCCCGGTGCGTGCCCAGGAGCCAGGCTCCTATTCCTTCTCACGTGTCCACTTGATCATGGTCTCTGGTGAGCGGTACAGGAAGATGAGCTTGGCATATAGCTCCTCCTCCAGCTCTAGCTCACGGGTCTCCCGCACCAGGAAGATGTCCTGGCACAGCTTGAGGATGCGGTCCACACACGGTAGTTCTTCAAACATGATGGAGTGTGAGATCTCACTGAAGAAGCCCCGCACAAACTTGCCAATGACCAGCACGATGGACACATAGAGCCCCATGATCCTGTCAGGAGAGGCAAATGAGGCAGGGGACTGCCCAGCGCTCAACCCAGAGTACAGGAGGCTCCTCAGAGTATACTCACCCGTAGCCAGCCAGGAAGCCAAGGCTGGGTGGGCTGACCTTGTCGCTGAAGATGACCATGGGTAGCAGGTTGCAGTTGGCCTGGCAGTCCTGCAGTTCAATCACCCACCACTCAAGGAAGCCAGAGGCCCCTGTGCCTACTTGCTCCCTCCGCAGCTGGATGCACACGCCAAGATAGTCGTCCTCCTCATCTAAGTAGAGTGGGGTGGTTAGTCCCAGGCCACAACCTAGCTCTGTTTGGGCTGCCTCAGCCCCTGGCCCCACATTCATAGCCTGGGCTGCCTCAGCCCCTGGTCCCACATCCCTGGTCTGGGCTGTCTCCATACTCTGGTCCCACATCCGTGGTCTAGGCTGCCTCAGCCCCTGGTCCCACGTTCCTGGTCTAGGCCATCTCAAGTCCCTGGCCCCACATCCCTGGTCTAGGCTGCCTCATCCCTGGGCCCACATTCCTGGTCTAGGCCATCTCAAGTCCCTGGCCCCACATCCCTGGTCTAGGCTGCCTCATCCCTGGGCCCACATTCCTGGTCTAGGCCATCTCAAGTCCCTGGCCCCACATCCCTGGTCTAGGCTGCCTCATCCCTGGGCCCACATCCCTGGTCTAGGCTGCCTCATCCCTGGGCCCATACTCACTCGGCTGCAGCTGCTTCACGGGGTTGGCTTCAGGCCCATTGGGGGCTCGGATGTACTTGGGGAAGAGGTGGGGGATAACCCTGTAGAAGGAGCCAGCAGGTCAGGGGTGTCCGAGCCCTCCTGCCCAGCTGTCCCTCAGCAGCCTCTACTCACACTGACTGGTTTGAGGTTCCCTCAAGCAGGCGGGCCAGCTGCCGCCGAGCTGTGCTGTTGGGCGCCAGCTCCAGGGTGTGCTTCTCATTGGTGTTCTCCACACTGCCACCTTTGGCTAGGTCTCTGAAGGGGGGGAATTGTCATGCAGTGTGGGACACACCTACCCGGGTCCCACAAGCACAGCACCCACCTCTGGAAATTCCAGGTAAAGCGCAAGGTGATGTCAGCCGTGCCATTGTACAGCTCCCGCTTCATCTGGGCCCGGCTTGGGGGGCTGATGCGCCACAGTGCCCCGGAGCTGCCCTCAATCTGTGCAGTGACGATGTCCTCAGGGCTGTACTGGCTGATGAACTGCATGGCCAGCTATGCAGGGCAGACCTCAGTTAGGGGCAGTGGGCCACCCTCCCCCGGTAAGCCCACCACTCCAAACAAGTGGATGCAGTGCTTGGGCCACTTACTGGGTTGGGGTCGAACTGCCGGGACAGCTCCTCATAGGCTTGAGCCGTGAAGGGCACTATGGACGGCTGCTGGGCGCTCATGGTGAACAGTGGCTGGGAGTGGGGCACATGGTCAGCCTGGAGCCCCACACAGTCCACGAGGAGGGGGTGCAACCTCTTCGGTAGGGAGTGGACAGGGCTGGCTGCTGCTCACCTCATAGCCACCCAGCTTGAGAGTGACAGTGACATCAATAGGCTGGTTGACAACGCCGACCACGGAGCGCACCAATGACATGAAGAGCAGTGGGAACCAGATGATAGCAATGAGGAATAGGATGATGAGGCCGCCCATGCCATACTTGACAATCTTCTTCTTCTTCTGCCCCTTGGGCTGGGGGTATTTCTGGAGGCAAGACATGGGTCACCCTCCTAGACCCTTGGCCACAGGCTCTAGACCTCAGTGTGGTGTCACTGGACAGGCCTATGGTCTAGAAATAACCCTTGGTAGGGCTGGCTGATCTAAAACAGGTGTTAAGGGTTCAGCAGGGACAGTTTCAGTGAATGGGGTGGGACATCAGCTGCACAAAGAGAAGAGGGCCCTGTTCCCCACACAGCTGCCAGCAAGGACTGTGGGGCAGGGTTCAGTGTGAGCTTGAAGCTCCCCAAAGAGGTTAAAGCATCTTTGCAATCCTGGATGTGGCAGGGGTCCTCAGGTAACACCAAAAGCCAACAGAAAGAAGGAAGACAGTGAACTTTCACAACTGATCTTTGTTTCAAAAGATCAAGAGGGGCTGGAGATGGCTCAGTGGCTCTTCCAGAGTTCAGTTCCCAGCACCTATCCAGGATGGCTCATAGCTGCCTGTAACTCCAGCTCCTGGATCTGATGCCCTCTTCTGGCCTCCTCAGGCACTGCACTCACGTCTGCACACACAGACATATACATACATATAATTAAAAATAATGAAGGCCAGGCATGGTGGTGCACGCCTTTAATCCCAGCACTCGGGAGGCAGAGGCAGGTGGATCTCTGTGAGTTTAAGGCCAGCCTGGTCTACATAGTAAGTTCCAGGCAGCTGGGGCTACAGGGAGACCCTGTCTCAAAAAGACCAAAAAAAAAGTAAGAGAAAAAAGAAAAGAAAACTCAAAAGTAAAGACGGTCAAAGCACAGGAGAGTGTGCAGAGCAGCCATGAGGAGCTCTCAGTGTAGCCAAAGCCCATGGGGAACATTTACAACCTTAGAAGATGACCCGAGCCAGAGATGGGATGTGATCTGACAGATACGCACGTTTCTCCAAAGAAGACAAATGAACTGTCAGAAGGGGGAAACCTCACACTGCTGGTAAGATGGTGCATGTACTTCAGAACAGTTCGGAATGCTGACCAGTGACCTTATGAGTTGTTCCATGTGTAGGCTGATACCCACACAAGTGAAAACATGTCCACACAGACCCTCCAAATACATGGACAGTAGCACCACCCACAGTGCCACACAGTAAGACAGCAGCAGTCCATCCATGGAGGCCCCATCAGACAAGCTGAGGCTTCTGCGCACCATGGACTATTACATGAAAGTACTGACCACAACGACATGGAAAAACACTGCTGAGTGAAGGAAGCCTGGCACAAAATGGTCCCCAAACAGGCAAATCCACAGACAGGAAAAAGATTATAGACAGCCAGGAGTGGGGAGGGGAGACACGGAGCAACTGCTGAAGGGGACAGGATTTCGTTGTGGGATAGTGCAGTGCTGGGCAGTTTGTAAACATACAGAACCACTGGATGCAGAGTCCTGCTGACACAGCCGACAGCACTGCCTGTGCCCTAGTGCTCTGCTGCAAGCTCAAGGGCCCAACCCACTGTTCCCTGCTGCTCCCCAGGACCCACTGCAGCTGTCCACAGGAATTCTAGAAAGCTCCTTTGTCTGGGCTACTGTGCCTGTGAGCCGTGACCTCTCAGGAGTCACCCGTCCATCCCTTTCACCCCGGCACCTTCTCTGTCTCTCGGCTACACTTGATGATGAAGATGTTGGCATATATGTCCTCCACGCACATCCAGTTGGACAGGGACAGTGTGGTGTCCGTCCACACCCAGTCCATGACAGCCCGCAGCTCCACCAGGAATGGCACCAGACGGAACCTGCCAAGGCCAGGGTTCCATCAGCCGAGACCGCCTACCCACTGAAACAGCCACTCGGCTTCTCACGCTCCCTGGGCAAACCACACTCACCCCTGGAAGAGGAAGAGGTTCAAGTGATTGTACTTCTTGGTGAGGAAGTTGCCGAGGATGCGGGTTGGGTAGCCACAGCGGATCTGGTAGGCGGACAGGGCGAAGTAGATGCATTTCACAAAGTACCACAGCTGGGCCACTGCATTCTGGCTGAACATCCTGGACGGGACCGAAAGAATGTCAGGGCAGGAGAGCCCACCAGAAACGGTCTTGGAGGCCAATCCCCAGAGAGCACCAGCACCCCAGGACAGACTGAGGCCTCCAGGTGTGGTGCCTCAAGGTGCCCACCTCTCAGTGACAGCGGGTAGGATGAAAAACATCCAGAGGTGGATGGCCAGTACGAGGACCACTTGGAAGGCCAGCTTGCCCAGCACAGTCTTGCGCAGGTAGAGGGCACGGTCAATGACCATGGTGCTGAACTGGACCAGCAGCATGACCAGGAAAGCCTCGGGCACTTGGTCATCTGACAGTGAGGACGCGATGTCTGTAGCCGCAGAGTGCTTCTATAGTAGAGGTTGCAGGTTGGGGAGATGGATCTAGGGTATGGTAGCCACTGGACACCACCATCTGGGAGTCCTGGACCCTCTCCCCCTTGAGGCCCAGAAGCTAGCCACCCACCCAGGGGTCTTGGACTCGCTCACCCCAAAGGCCCAAAAGCCAAAGATGGTAATGATGACGTCGACAACATCAGCCAGGAACATGAGCACATAGACATCGGTGGCCGCTCGGTACTTGGTGTGCAGGATGTCGTGGAAGAAACGCCTCAGGGGTTGGTACATGCTCTGTGCCCTGCGGGTGGGAGGTCTCAACAGGGGGGTCTGGCTCAGGCCTTCCTGCCTGCCCCAGCCACTCCCAGTCAGGCCACTCACAGTGACAGGCAGAAGCTCCGGAGCCGGAGCCCAGCCACCTTCATTCTCTCCTGAACCGTCCTTTTTTTGGAGTGGCTCAGGCTCTTTCTTCCTGCAGTCTCTTCCTCCTCCTCTTCCTCCTCATGCTCAGCCTCTGTGAGTATGTACGTTGGGGGGGAGTGACTTTGAGCCCAGGAGGGACAGGGTGGCCTGGCCACTCCTAGGAGCTAGCATCTTCAAATTTTAAAAATATTTTTATTTATTATTTTTATTTTATGTGTATGAGTGTATTGCCTCTGTGTGAGTGCACCCATGTCGTGTAATGCCGCGGAGGTCAGAAGAGGGCTTTGGATTCCCCTGGAACTGGAGTTAAGGATGGTTCATAGCCACCATGTGGGTGCTGGGAATCGAACCCGGGTCCTCTGCAAGAGCAGTTGGTGCTCTTGTACGCTGAGCCATCTCTCCAGCCCCTCTTGTCTCTCTTTAGCCAGAAACATGCTGTATTGTTTCACAAATCTACACATTAAGTTTAAGGTATGGAAGAATTATGTGGGTGCTGGGAATCAAACCCAGGTCCCCTGCAGGAGCACTCAGTGCTCTTGTATGCTGAGCCATCTCTCCAGTCCCAGCATCTCCAAATTTTATAGACAAGACAGCAGACTGCAGAGGGACTGTCCCATGTCCCCAGGGCGGGGCAATTGGCTGTCTTTTCTTGGTAGTCTTGAGGCTTCAGCCCAGGTTGTAGCAGCCTCATCCTGGGCTTAGGGACAGCAGAAAGGACAGGTGGAGGGAGGGGCTAAGCAGTTGCATGATTCCCTGCGGGGCAGTCCCTGTGCTAGATTGGCCATCTCCAACTGAGGGGCCGTCTCCTCCACCTCCCAGGAACCTAGCTAGGGCCCAGTCTGGGCTCACCGATGGTTGCCGCTCCTTTGGGTCCCAGGGTCTCCTTCTTCCTTCGGAAGCGCAGGCTGATACGCCTTGCATCTTGGGGCTTGAGGTCCTCTGGGGGTTCGGAGATCCCATCCTTGGATCTGATGCTGGCTTTCGCCGGGACGTGGTCCTTGGGGGCTCCAGCCAGTCCTTGCTTCTTGGGGTGCTCCATGCCTACCTGAGGCTGGGGTCCCAGCGTAGTCTCTGACTCCTCCTCAGCCCCCTGATCCTTTTGACTATTCCTATGATGTTCCTTGGAGAAGCGGTCATCCTCATGGTCCCAGAGGCCGTAGCACTGTGGGGGAGTATGGAGGGCCAGTGACAAGGCTGGCCCAGGCCTCACTCAGGCCAGATTCATCCTGGGTCACTCAATATCCAGTCTCATCATGGGGCTTGAAAGTGCCCAGAGGTGCTCAGGACCCTGCCACCCCTGGGCCAGTCTGTGGGCCCTGCTGCCCCCTGGGCCAGCCTGGGCTCACCAGCAGCTGAGAGCGATGGAAGAAGAGAGCCATGAGCTGCACCAAGTCGTACTTAATGTAGCTGTCGGTTTTCTCCAGGCCCAGGATGCGCGGTGGGAAGTAGGGCTTGTTCTCATAGCGCCGCAGCACCACATGGCTGTTCCAGGGGAAGAAGCCAAACTGGAACAGGTACTTGGTGACCACCATGACCTGCAAGACAGGGCACTCAGCACAGGCTGGGTGGCCCTGCCCCACCCCTAGCAGCTGCTACCCACCTCGGTGAAGACGATGGCAGTCATCCAGAAGCGCTTGCTGGGCCTTGGGATGGTCAGCATGGCCCACAGGAAGACAAGCACCGGCAGCACCAGGGAGGCGGCCGAGGCTGTCACCATATGGTTGAGGATGATGATGAAATAGCACAGCAGCTCTGAGTGCGCCGCTATGCACTGGCAAATGGCCCGCAGCAGGCGTAGCATCCGACCCTGCTGTGCCTCAAACTGCTCAGCCTCCTCCAGTTCGGTGATTTGCAGGCGCCTGCCAGAGGACCACAGGAATTTGGTGGCAAGAGCCAGGAGCACCCCTCATGTCTGTTGCAGCCGTGGCAACAAGCAGGCTCTGATCCCAGGCCTGGGACCACAGCTAGCCCCTGCCTCTGTCATTGAGCTCCTCCAGCCAGGACTCCTGCTTAGGACACCCATGAGGACCCGCACACAGCCTCATCCTGACCCACCTGTCCAGGAGCAGCTCGCTGGCCGTGCGCATCCGAGTGTGAGTGTTAGCCAGAAGCTCTTGGGAGCCCTGCAGGGAGGCCCCAGCCCGGGGGTCCCCTGTGTCGGTGACCATCTCCTCGCTGCCACTGCGGGTGCTGTAGCCTGTGCTCAGGGGGCTGCTGGTGTCGTCTGTCATGCTGCTCAGAGGTTCTTCAACTCCCAGCCCACTGAAAGAGGAAAGGTGACAAGGGGTGGGCAGTGAGACAGCACTACCCCTGACCACGTCTAACAGCTCAGGAGTCAGCCCTGCTTGGGGCCAAAAAACGAGCAGAAATGAGGCCCCTCGGCCCCTTGGGCCCTGCACCTACCTTGAGGCCGTGCTGGGTCCGTCTCGAGTCTCCATGGGACCTGGCAATGTAGTCTCAGCTTCACTCACATAAAGCTGGTCCAGCACCCCCCGGTGCACCTCTCCACCCTGCAGAGCATGGGAAAGCTCTCAGGGTTACAGAGATTGTCCCAGTTCCACTCCACGCATACCCAGCAGACAGCAGGTAATGGTGTGGTTTTGATGAGGTATAGGGAGGGCTTGGCCCAAGTGGGGCTTACCCGCAGGAGCTCCTGAGTGAGCAGGTAGCGCTCTGCACGCAGCACATCACTCATGGTGCGGTGGTGCCTTGTGAATGCACACAGCCAGCGTGTCAGCCCATCCACTGTGGCCTGTCCCAGCACCCAGAGGAACTGCATGGTGCTCAGCACACGCTGCATCACGTGGCTGCGGCCTACAAAAAGAGCAGGAGAATGCCAGAGGCGGCTGGCCACAGAAGCCCCAACCCCATGCCCAGCAAGCCCACGTACCTGCCATCTCATCCTCCTGGGCCTCCACGGGCTCCACCTCATGGCTTTGTCCACCTCCTGGGCACAGGGATAGTCAGCATCAGGCAGCCCTGCAGCTCCCTCACCGGAGCCCCCAAATACAACTCACCAGAGGGTGCCTGTTGTGCCCGCTCCTGCTGTGCCCGCTCCTGACGCTGTCTCAGCACCGTCTGTGCATTGGTCACCCATGCCTGGTATGCCATCTGCCGGTCACAAGTCTAGGTTAGGATTCTGGCTTCCCTAAGTGAAGGACCCATGGTCCCCTCCCAAGGAAGAGGAGGGAAAACCTGGGGCTGGCCAGCCACGGACCAGATCCTACTCTCTATCCAGCTGGGGGTCTTTACCTCCCTGAGGCCCCTCTGGAAATGGACTCCAGGGAGGCAGGGGAGGGGGTCAGAGCCAGGACTTGGGATCAGAAGGGCTGGCTGCCTGTGACCCTCATGACCTCAGCGTGCTTCCCCAGCTGCATGGGTAGGTCTGAAAGGCTGGGTAGACGTCTTGGTTATATAGGAGCTGGCTTTAAGTCCCTCAGGTGCCTGTCTCTCCACAATGCCCACCTCGGACCTCCATGAACAAAGCAGGCAGACACGACTCCACCTCACCTGGAAGGCACTCTGTGCTGAGGGCCTAGGGTCCTCAGGCAGGGCCTCCTCTTCCTCCTCACTGTCAGACTCGAACAGGAAGTAGTCCCCAGAGTGGATGACTGCGGGGTAGGGGATGGAGGCTGATGTGAGCACAGAAGGGGACCTTTCCCCAGCTAGACCCAGACAGTCCTATCTTCAGTTTTGAGTTGGTCAGTAGCAGACCTATTGTTAGGGATGCAGGTCCCCCTCAGCATCCCCCCACCCACATGGCTTTGCATGAGTGTCAACTTCCCTTGGGGAATGCCCCACGCAGGGTTTAGCAAGCTAGGGACTGCAGTGCATGCACAGGACACAGGCCAGAAAGCGGGACAAGACCAGACAGGACTAGAAGGACCCAGACAGGAACAGGTCAGTGGTGCAGAGAGGGTACCTGCGGCATGGTCCAGCCAGGGGCGCCACCATTGTCTCTGTGGTGGAAAGGAGCCCCCTGGACTGTCAGGTCCTGTGGAGGGGGCAGGGCAAGCGTGAGCCAGCAGGGAGACTGTGAGGGCAGCCCACCCTGGGGACAAGGGCACATGGCAGAGACAGAAGCAGACACAGAACCCCTGCAGTGACAGGGTATCATGTGGTGCCACGTCTTAGAGCCCTAGAGGGGTGGAGAAGGGGCCACACGTGCAGACATGCAGTCACAGTGGTCACAAGGCCTGCCAGGACAGAAGGAAAAATGTCATGGCACAGGACAGGGTGGGCCCCAAGGTACATCAATTGCACATGGCACAGAACAGGGGGCAGGGGCCCCATGGCATGCCACTTTCATGTAGCACAGGACACAGTGGGGCTCCAGGCACATCACTTGGACAAGGGGCAAGGCCCCATAGCACATCACTTGGCACAGGTGCAGGCAGGCTCTAGTGGCATGGACATGCGGGGCCCTCTAAGGTGCTGGGATTCTGCACATACTCACCTGGCTCCTGACTAGGGTCCTGGGGGTCAGTGGACTGGGAGTGGCTGCGGTTCGCCTGGCTCTGCCTGTGCTTCTCCTGCTTAGCACGTATACGCTTCATCCTGCCAAAGGGAAGAGGTTCTGAGTGCCAGGCTGGCCAGGAGGACCCAAGGGTCCCTATCCCAGAGGGCACCTACTGTCTTTTTAGCTGGGCCAAGGACTTCTCCTCAGCCTTGCGATGGAAGTCGATGCTCTTAAGGTTGGCTGCATTGTAGAGGGCAAATCCCCTGCAGGGAAAGGTGAGACTTCAGCACTTAGCTCCAGATATGCAGCTTTCTCCTACCTCTAGGCCTTGCTGGCCCAAGCCCCTAACCCTAGGGAGCTTGCTTGGTCCTCCTCCCCACTGTAAGGCATGTGTTGGGAAACACCCACCACCTCCAGCCCTGTGCTATGCTTGGTGAGGGAGGAAATACTCTCTGCCACCTCATCTCCTAGGGCAGAAAACCATCACAGGAAGGGACGCTGGGTGGCAGCTCTGGGGAAGGTTGGTGAAGCTGCCGGACCCAAGCTCAGCTCCAGGGCAGAGGCCTCTGCTAGGAGCATGGTACAGTGTCACGGCCCTCCAGCAGGAGACAATCAGGCCAATAGGGGCCAGGAGTGGAGCTGAAACACCTCGGGGCCGTGCTGCCTTCTAGGCTCCCGCTGTGGGCAGCCCGTGGTGATCCGACATGTCTGTGGTCCTTTGCTCTTCCTCTTGGCGACAGCACCGAGTGGAAGTTCTACTCTAGAGGAGCCCTGTACCGAGGGCGCACTTCCCTTCCCCCACCCAGGGCGAAGCAGCTGGGCAGACCTGGAGGCCTGCAGAGCAGTGGCCTTCAGGTCAGCACTGACATGCAGGAAGTAGTGGCTGAGGAAGACGCGCCGCTGCAGCAACAGGAAGAAGAAGCAGATGCCGTCCCAGATGATGCCGGCCTCCTCCACGGGCAGCAGGCAGTCCCGGTCCCTGCCCGTCATCTCTTTGGCTGTGGGACAGGTGCCAAGCATGGTGAGGGGTCAGGACCAGAAGCAGTGGGGAGCTCGGTGCCCCCACCCCTCACCCACCCACGGGCCTCACCCACTCACGGTTGTAGTAGCCTTTGACCGTGCACACGAGGCTGAAGAGCTGGATGACCCAGCAGAAGCTGCTCTGCATCTGCTCCACGAAGACGCAGGACAGGAGCTGGGGGGAAGGGGCGGGGTCAACCTCGGGCCCCAGGGGTGAGCCAGTCGGGCGATGGCTGGGCAGGCCCGCTCACCGAGAGCATGTTCTTGGAGACGATGACTGTGACGTTGTAGAGGATAAGGCAGTCCCACAGCACGAGGCGGGCTCTCGTATCCTTCTGCAGCAGGGCAGTGCCGAAGAGCAGCAGGTAGAAGCAGGCCAGCAGGTACCCTAGCCCGAAGATGCTGATGCGCGTCGCCCCCGTGACGAACACCACCACCAGCACCAGCCAGAACAGGTAGCGGAAGACGGCCACCTTCAGCATGTCCAGGTAGGACCTGCCAAGCGGGGGTGTCACTGAGGTTGCCAGACAGCCTGGTCACCCCCTCTCAACAGGTGTTTCAGGGGTGGGTAGTGTGGGACCCACCTGCAGTGGATGAAGTTGGGCACGGGGTTAGGCTCCCCACGGAGGGACTCCAGGTGGTCAGTGTTGATGCCAGCCATGCGCTGCCACTCCTCCGTGCGTTCAGCAGAGAAGACCTGCCACTGTTGGGAGGCGCAGAGCAGCAGGAGAAAGTCACCTGCAGGACACAGGGGAGCTGATGGGTGGCACGTGGCATGCACGTGGGGGAGCAAGAGTGCACTGTCAGGGACTGTGCCCACCTCCCAGAGAGGGTATCTGTATGTAGAAGGTGGGTGCTGGTGGGTGTCAAATTCTTGAGGACACAGTCTATGTATGCACATATGCTGTGTATGTGCATGTATGTCAGGGGATATGGGTTGCCATGTGCCTCCCTGCACACTATGGGGCCAACAGTGTGTACCCCTATACACATACAGATCTGTACCACTGGATGAGTACATACTCTTTGACGTGATTGTGTGTGTGAGAGTCAGGGGCATCAGCCCCCTCTGGACAAGCCTATGGGGAGGCTCGGCTCCCCGGCTGGTGAGCCCTGGACAACTCATCTCTTCAATGACTCCAGGAAAGGGTCCCTATGGAGCCCTCACAGCCTCTCATGGGGCAGGCAGGAATCCTGGGGTGGGTGGCTGGGCAGCACTTACTGATGAGGTTGGTGGAGTTAGGGGCCCTGAAGAAGTCGGGCAGGTACAGCCACTTGATGAGAGCAGAGTTCATGGGAATGGCCTGGCTCCAGCGCCATGGGTAGTCTGTGGGTAGAAGGCATGTCAGGAAGGGCTGGAGCTGTCCTTGTCACCCTCTGCTGACTTGGATCAGAGGCTGGCGACTCTGTCACACATTCTAGTATTACTGGCAATTGTTTTCATACCACTCACATCGAGCCTTGAAGACCACTGACCCACAAAGGCTCATGACCCACATGACCCACAGGACATGAATCCTGACTGGAAACTGCACCAGGCTAGGGGGTGGCAGAGGAGCCCACGGACAAGCCAAAGGGCAGGATGGTGGTGAGCCTCACCCGAGACAGGGCAGGCACCTCCCAAGGTGACAGTATTTGGAATAAATTGTGGTTCACACACTAACAGCACAGCATATATGAAACATAACAGCCAAAGCTGGAAACAACCGAGAACTCCCCCCAGCCACTGCAGCAACCCGTGCCCTGGATGACCCTCAACAACACCCGAAGGGATTCTGCCTAAAAGAAAAACCCGAGGGGGTCTGCCTGTACCTGCTAAGGGAAGTGAACGCCTGAGCGACCCCACTGTGTCTCCGAAGGGAAAGGAGCCACTGCACCACTCTACCACATGACATTCTTGTATCAGGAGAAGACAGCCTGGTGGCTAGTAGGGGATGGGCTGCATGAGGGACATGTAGAGTGATGGGGATGCTAAGAAACAGGGTGGGCTGGGCTGGAGAGAGCGCTCAGTGGTTAGAAACACTGGCTGCTCTTGCAGAGGAACCAGGTTCAGTTCGAGCACCCACACAGTGGCTGACAACTGTCCATAACTCTAGGTCCAGGGGATCTGATGCCCTCTTCTGACCTCCACAGGCATTGCATGCATGTGGTGCACTTACATACATACATACAGGCAAAACACTTATACACAAAAAAAACTTTTAAAGAACCAGGGTGGGTAGAAAAGCACCTGTACGAACTCATCAAACCCACAGGATAGCACGCCACAACACGACTCTCACCGTGCCAAAAACAAGTGGCCCTAGGTGTTCTGGGGAGACAGGGACAAACTGAAAGACCACTGTGTGATGCCCAGAATGAGCTGGAGAGAAAGGAACTAGACCAAGTCACAGAAAACCAGGCTTTCATGGATGGGCACACCAGTAACCAGGAAGACCACAGGCAGTGGCACCCAGAACCCTGAGTAGCGGTGCATGGTTCTGTCATAAAAGGACTGGGCTCTGTGGCCAGGTCTGGCTTCAGGGCACAAGGTGAGGTGGGGGTCCCAGGAGCAGGAAGAGCCTCCCAGGTCATGAGAGGGGAGGCTAGGAATCGTGGCTGAAAATGGAAGGTGGAGGTGTGATAGCTCTCCTTTAGAAGATGCTGAAGGTGACATAGATTTGCATCATCTCAAAGCATCTCCCTGTGATAATAAATTACAAGGAGAAAAACGTCCATGAAAATCCTGGCAGATGCCACTGTAACTGAGCTACAAAGGTTAAGGTCACCAGTGAAATGACACAACCCCCCCAAAGTGCTCTAAGAACATATCCAACTGTGTGGAGCTGCCCTTGGTGCACATCCAGGTGGTCTCTCTGCCAGGATGGGTGCCTAGCACTCCCAAGATCACAGAGGACAAGGAAAACCCAAGTAACCACCACAACCAGCAAGACAGGAAGAGCCAGGATGCTACCTGGGTCCTGAACAACTCAGGGCACGATGTCAACCTGGGACTTCAAAACCCTTACCATTTTGTTCAAAACAACAAAAAATGGACAGGGGATGCGGCTCAGTGGTAGAGCACTTGCCAGCATGGATCATGCAGTGGGCTCCATCCCCACCCCTGTGGAAAACGAAAATCTTTAAACTAAGGTAGATGAGAAATGCACGTTCTCCCCTACAGAAGAGCCGCTGGAAGACAGGCATATAAGAACAGAAAGCAAGGCTGTGGTGTGACACTACAGGAGTCATGTTCCCTGCGGGAATATACCATGCACCCCTGTGAGGTGGTGCCACATGTCTGCAGCACGCAGGCATGGGGAAGCAGGATCATCTCTGAACAGGTCAAGTGGGCAAGCTTGGCCCCAGCCATGAGCCACACATACCAGCCTTCTGGCACTACCACAAGGTTTCTGCCCACAGAATTCCACATGTCTAGTGAGGCACATCCAACCCTCGGGGCATATGTCAAAGCCACCAGCCAAACTGCCCAAAAATGTCATAAGAGATGAGAGAAGCTGGAACAGTCTTACGGAAAGAGACTGAGGATGGAAGGCAGACGCCATACAGCAAAGGACCGGGCCATTTCAAAAGACTATACACTGCAATGGTACTACTGAGACACGCTTTTACAAAAGGCTATCATCCTGCAGGCCTGGGAGACCCTACCCTCAGGAGACCAAGCTCAAGTCTGTACTGGGTGGACAACTATGACTCAAGTGGCCCAGAGAGAGGATGTGCAGGCCAGAGGGTGGACAGGAATGGATAGCCTGGGGCTGGGCTGGACTTGGGCTAAGTCCAAAAGGGTGGGCAGAAAAGAGCCTATGAGCTTCCATGTAGCCACAGCCACACCCACTGAGCCCTCCAACCTGTGGCTCACCAATGCACAGGGCAGGCGGCATGCCCAGGCACAGCAGGTACTGGTACAGGAGGAAGAGTGTGAGGAACAGGCAGTAGTTGGGCCAGAGGCGGGCGATGGCCTCCCGGTGCCGGCGGGTGAGGATGGCCACCAGCCAGCAGCCATGTAGGATCACCATGAAGTTCATGCGTTGCCCAATCACATTCACAGCCATCAGGAAGCAGATCTGAGTGGACACGGGGGATGGACATGGTGGGAAGAAACCCTCTGATCTGCCCCAGGCTGCAGGCCCAGAACACCCCTCTGCTTTGAGGTCATCTTTGTTGGGGGGCTAGCAGCCCAGGTCACCCTTCTAGGGGGCAGCAGTGGCTAGACACATCTCCATTATGCTCGGAGGAAACTAAAGCTCAGGGTTCAATGAAGGGGGCTCCATGGCAAGAGAGACTGTACCCTGTCACCAGTCAGCCCTGCCCACACCCCCACAACCCCTGCCTACCAGGGAGGACCTGATCCAACCTCCTTCAAGGCCCAGTGTGAGCTATGCTCACATAGCCGCTTTTTTGTAGACGCTTAGTGGGGCCTGCAGCCGTGAGCCCTGCCTGCAGGGGCGGGGTATGGGCACCCAGACTCACTTCCAGCCCAAATTTGTAGAAGAAGAAGTTGACGAAGTACTTGAGACAGCTGAGTAGGTCCTGGTCAAGCCTCTGGCGGGTACCGTCGGCATACACAGCCTGGGCAGGCAGCGGGGCCCTCTGGTGCTGCCGGCGGTAGTGCTCTTGGCGCCGGTATACCATGGCTTCGAACACCAGCAGCAGCAGGATCTGCAAGTGGTTCTGCCGAAGTGGGGGTTGGGTGAGTGGGGACCGTCAAGGACTGTCAGGGACAGCCTGCCCTGGCTGCTAGCTCCCACTCACCTGGATATAGCCCAGATTAGGGAAGCCCTTCCGCACCCCAAACCAGTTGGCAGGGTCGATAGGGTCATGGTACAGCAAGGACTGGTTGATCTCCATGGGTTGCAAGTTGGTGCTGTTGGGGAAGGGCTGTGGAGAGGGTTGGGCATGAGTATCCAGTCCTAGGACCCAGGTTGGGATGAACAGGGGTCACGGAGTGCTGCTTTAAGCCTATCCCACAGCCAAAGCTGCAGGTCAGGGCCAGGCCAGACAAGAGATGCCCTGCCAGAGGTTCATGGGGCTGTGCCAGTCTTGGAGCCACACTGAAGGGAAGGGGATAGGCCAAGGCCAGGGGAGTAAAGAGATGTCCAAGGAAGAAGGATGGAGGCAGGTAAATCTATGGGCAGGCGTCCTGAGGGACCCTTCCCTCCTCATTGCAGGGGTCACTGGCCCAGTGTCCTGGCATTCCATGAAGAACCATCCCAGTTGGGGCACCTCCTCCAGTAGGCCCCTGGGCCCCAGGGTTGCCCCACGCCTTGTACCTTGGTGCAGTTGCTGGAGTACTCCGGTGGGTTGACGATCTTGAGCTGATAGAGCATCTTGCACACAATGATGATGCAGGTCCATATGGTGGAGAGGCAGGAGGCCATAGGCCGGAAACGTGGGTAGGGCAAGGCGAAAGCCCACAGCACCACCAGCAGTAGGTTCATCACGGACACCTACGGAGAGCAGCAGGCAGTGAGCTAACCAGGCAGCACCTGGACTGGATTCCAGGCCTGCTACTACCACCCATGAGGCCTTTCTCTAAGGCATCCAGCAAAGCCAGGCTGGGAACGACTCTACTGTTCACGCAAGGAAACTGAGGCCCGGCCTTGACATACTTACCTCCTTCAGGGCCACCCAGACAGTGTACAGGGCCACCAGCTTGAAGATGTGCAGCTCCAGCAGGCACCGTACAAACACCTGGATGCGCGACAGTACGTCCGAGAAGCTGGCCGCCAGGTCCAGCAGCCGGTCTGCCACGAGACCCCACTTGCTGGCTGCAACTGTAGAGGAGGGGCTTGGTGAGGAGGAGGGTAACTTGGTGAGGCAGTGGGGCTCAGTGATGGGATTAGGCTGAGGAGGAAGGGATGGGGCCCAGTGAGGAGGAGGTATGTGGTAAGGAGCGTGAGGCTAAGTAGAGATAGAGCAGGGCTCAGGAAGGAGGGGTAGAGCTTGGAAAGGAGGGGGCTGGGCTCCAGGAGGAAGGTGTGGAGTCCAAGAGGAGGAGTAGGCTCGGGGCTGCCCTCCTCAGTGCCCCACATCCAAGGTGTGGCAGAGCAGAACCTAGACCCTCTTCCTGGCACCCTATGTGACTGATGCTCTGCCTGTCCCATCCAGACTTACCCTCAGGGACCTGTGTGGCCTGGTAGGGACCATCCATGCTGAGCGCCTCATCTCTGAAGACCTCCTCCTCCTCCTCCTGCTGCTGCAGCAGGGGGGCCTCGCTGACTGCGTCCTGCCTGGGAGAACCCAAGAGTCACTTCCTGCTTCGGTTCCTGTCTCCTCTTTCTGGGACAGCCCCTGCCTGCACCCCTGTCCCTGCACAATACCCCAACTGTGTTTCATCCACAGTCCCTAGGCCAAGTGTACACGTCCACAGCTGACTCTCTGACATCCCCATATCATCCCTGGTCCCACAGGCTGTGAACATCCAGCATCTGTGGACTTCAGAGGCAGACGTGGTAAGTCCAACAAGCTAGGCAGAGCAGACTGCACCTGTGAGCCCAGCCAAGGCGGCGGGTGCTTGGCGGGGGCACGTGCTCCAGGTCGGTGAGCTGCATGAAAGGCCGGTGGAAGTAATGCAACTGTAGGATGCAGGCCAGCAGGAAGAAGCCAGGGATGAGGATGCTGGAGAAGAGTTCCGACACACTGAACTGCTCCAGGCCCAGGTCCCCCAGCCTGGCAGGAGAGAGCCGTGAGCCCCATGCCCAGGCCAGCCCTGCCCCAGTGTCCACAGTGGTGAACAGGAGCAGAGCCAGGGACAGGAGGGTGGTGGGTGGGAGGGAGGGTGCCACCACCGCCCCAGGGGAGCAGCTTGGCTGTGCCTGACTCACTGCTCATCCGTGAAGCCCGTGAGGTTGCGCCAGTAGGTGGGGAAGTCCTGGAACTGGAAGGTGTACACGGCAATGAGCACCAGCATGGTATAAGCCACCACAAGCCACCAGAAGATGCGGAGCAGCTTCCTCCACAGGCTGTAGTAGACCTGCAACACTGACTGGTGAGCAGGGCAGGAGAGGCACAGATCCCCACCTGCCGGCTGCACCTTCCTGACCCTGCAGGTACCTGGAACAGTGTGAGGCACAGCAGGAAGAGGAACATGTAAACGATCTTATAGACCACCAGGCGGCCAGCAAAGCTGACCACAATGAACATTCCAGCACACACGTAGATCCAGTACTTGGCGTAGATGCCCATGACCAGTTCTCCCAGGCTCCGCAGCAGCGTTCGCGTCTGTGAGGGCTCTGTGGGCCAGGATGGGAGGCAGAGTCAATGGCCTTGGGCAGGGAGGGGATGGTGGGTTGGGAGCTGTTCCACCGGAGCCGGCTGCTCACCTGTATCAGCCACTGTGACCTCCAGCAGCTGAGTGGGCGCCTTCGCCTTCTTCAGCAGCTTCTCCTTTACAAACTGGCGCAGCAGGAGCCAGAATGTCAGCATATAGAGCAGCTGTGGCGAGCAGGATTGTCACTGAGGGCCCAGCCCAAGACACAGGGCCACACAGAGCCCTCAGCCCCTCCATGGCCACAAACACAACCTCACTCTCACATGTGGGTTCACATGGCCACAGACCCACAAATGGTCTCACAACCATTCACAATCTTACATGGACAGATTCACATATTGCACAGCCAGATTCACACATGTGCACTCACATGCATAAACATGTTCACACTAGTGTACACACAGGCCCACAGGTTCAAGCACTGAGATACATTATAACCCACCGGCCCACAAACAGTTGACCAAGATGCTGGTATACATCTGCCTCATATAGGGAACCCTGAGTGGACGGCGAGACACATTGACCAGGCACAATTCAGAGTATACATGGATACCCACAGCATCAGCGTCACAGAGACAGCGCCCACAGCAACACAGTGCCTTTCACTCAGTAGCTCAACAAACATGTTTTGAACAACCCGTGTGCTGGGTTGTGCCCACAGAAACTTCAGGCATGCTTTTTCTCCGAGTCTCTACTCAGCTGGACAAATGAATGACGAACAGAATGGCATTGTCCTCTTGGGTCCCCAGCAGAAACCCGGCCACCACCCATGGCTCCCAGGTATGGGTGACACTCACCATGGCACCAAGGTCCAGGCAGGGGTACGGTGTGTGTTCCAGCCCCAGCTGATGCAGGCTGATGGGACCCAGGGTGGTGGGCAGCTCAGGATTCAGGTCCATGGCCCACACGTAGCGCAGGCAGCAGAGCGTCAGCCCGTACAGCAAGATGCAGGGCGAGCAGAGCATGGCCAGCTGGTGGCGGCTGCGCACGGTCCAGATGAGGCAGGCCCAGAGCAGCAACACGAAGGTCAGCCAACTATGGTACATGATGCTCCACACCTGGACAGCCAGGGCCAGTGAGCAGGGGCTGCGTGGAGCACCCATCCAGCTTCCCACCCCAACAGCAAGGCCTCGTGAAGCAGCCCACGCATGTGTACACACCGTGGTGGGCTGGCGGTGACGCCCCACCAGGCAGTCCCAGCACTGTTTGTGGTGACCAGTCTCTGAACCTCACTTTCTGAAACACATATCCCACCTCCCCATGCCCCATGAGAAAACTATAACGGCCCCAGGCGCTGCTCCTTACCATCATGGCTATGAGGGCGCACACGTAGCTTTGGTCCATGATGAGGTGGCCCAGGCCGTGCAGCGGCGATGTCTCTTTCAGTTCAGTCAGTCTTGGACGTGCTTGGGATGGGACTGAGGTCAGCTACCACCTAGGAACACTCTGGAGCCCCTCCCTCATACACAATGTGGTCCTCAAGCATAGAGCAGACCAACTGCAGTGTAGCAGGGCCCAACAGGTAGGAGGGGACCAGGTCTGCCAGGTGGCTGCAGTGGGTGGGTGCTAGTCAGAAGATGACAGAAGAGACTGACTGCTCTGGAATGTCATGCGACCCTAGCCAGACCTTACTGGCATCACCTTTCAAGACTTTGAAAGAATGTGAGGTAGGAGATGTCCCATATTAGTTTTCTGATCTGATTCTATATATTATCCAATTACAGAATGGGGTAGAACTGAAGGACTGAGGATGTAGCTCAGTGGTACAGTGCAGGCCTGGTGCACCTAAGACCCCAGGGTCAATCCCCAGTACCAAAAAAAGTAAAATAAAATTGTAGCACCAATATCAAAATTCAGGGTAGAGGTCTATGAGATGGTTCAGCAGGTAAAGGCACCTGCTGAAGACCTGCGTTCAATCTCTGGGACCAACATGGTGGAAGGAGAGAGTCCACACCCTCAAGGTGTCCTCTGACCTCTACATGTGTGCTGCCATGGCTTGCACAAGCACCCTCTCCATAAT